AATATGTTATTCACTAGTATAGGAGAGCCCAAGTACTTAGATCCTGCCATAGATGACTTGACCTTTAGTGAGTGAGAAGAATTTATTGTGCTGCCTTTGGACATTTTTGCTAAAGAATATGCTGGATTTGGCATAATTTAACTGTTGGCCAGATAGGGATTCAAACATTTCGATGATGTTGACCAGAGCTCTAACCTGTGACATGTCCACTTTATAGAAGATGATGCAATCATCAGCAAAGAGCAGGTGCATGATGGGAGTGCCATTAGGACAAAGGGTGACCCCTTCAATGCTGCCTGAGTTGGAAGCCTGAAATAGGAGCTGTGAGAAGACCTCCATACCAATGATAAATAAATATGGGGATAGTATATCACCTTGCCTTAAACCCTAGTTCAAATGAAAATGCTCATACGCTTCTCCCGCAATTTTGATTGAGAAGGTGGCTGCAGAGATGCACTGATGAATCATGTTGCACCATTTTGCTGGGAAGCCCATTTTCTGTAAGACATGATATAGAAAGCACCAGCCCATCCTATTAAAAGCCTTAGACATATCAAGTTTGAGAGCAATGAAACCTTTCCCTATTTTCTGAGTTTGCATTTTATGTAGGATCTCCTTAGCTATGAGAATGTTGTCTGTGATTTGTCTGCCCTTGAGAAATCCTGATTGGAAGGGTGATATCACCTATTGTAGAATAGGTTGGAAATGATTTTGTAAAGAACATTGCATAAGCTGATTGGCCAGTAACTGGAGGTGTCCACTAGCTTATTATTTTTGGGGATGAAGACTATTTTTTGTGTTATTTATTTCCTTGGGTAAGTGTTCACAGTTAAAGAAGTTTTGAACCATGGAGAGGATGTCATGTTTGAGCACTTCCCAGAAATGTTGATAAAAATATGTCGTGAATCCATCTGGACCTGGTGATTTATGAGGACTCATTTCTTTTATCACTGAAGCCAGTTCTTCAAGGTTTGGGGGGAGGAGTAAAGCTTTAATTTGCTGGGTAGATAGCATGGGTAGGTTAATGTTCTCTAGCAGATTTGGGTTAAAGCTTTCCGGATGACCTCCTGTGTTCAAGATGACATTTTTAAAGGTGAGAGCTATGGTTCCCCAATTAAATGTCCAGTAACCATTTGCAACTTTTAACCATTCCACATTATTTTTGGTGTTTCTGAGATTAGCCATTTGGTGAAAAAAAAATTGTGTTTTTGTACCCTTCTCTAAGCCAGAATTCTCGGGATTTGAGTCTCCATAATTGCTCTTCTTTGAGTAGCCAGTAATGGTATTTCTTTTTTAGGGAATTTAGTAGCTAGTGCTACTCCTCATTAGCATGGGACATTTGGATGCTGGAAATTTTATTGGAGAGTTTTTGAATGTGATCCTGAATCAAACCAAAGTGGTATTTGTTCCAAGCCGGAAGTTGGGATTTGCATTCTTTCAATTTTTTTGTGACTTGATGAGTTGCTGAACCTGTAATGTTTTGGTCCCAAATTTGGGTGATAATTTCTTTGCATTATGGGTATTCAGTTCAGAAAGGTAAGAAATGGAATTGAGGTCTTGTAAGTGGTGATGATGGGTTGGTATTTATACAAATGGGACCATGATCCGATGAGGAAGATTAGTGTGGGGGAAGAGAGAACACCATGAGGAAGTGGCTAAAGCTCTATCTAGTCTCTCCAGGACTTTTGCGTAGCCTTGCTGGCCATTAGTCCCAGTGAAAGATGGGCCAATGAAATGCATATATATTAGGTTGAAGGTGCTGATGAAGTGTGATAGAGCTTTAGATAGAATGGGGTTGTTGTTTCTAAAAAACTTGTGGTCCTCCGGTCTGTATATATCATTTAAGTCTCCCATTAACAACCAAGGTTAATTTGTGGATGACTGTAGTTGAGTTAAATAACTCCATAGTATTTTCCTTTGATGCCTGACCGGGTGGCCATAAAAAATGAGAAGTTTCCAGGATTGATTTGGGGGGAAATTTTTTATTTGCAATTGGATTATATAACTTCTATATCTGAGGGATTCGACCAGCAACATAATAGACCTTAGGATAAGCCAACTGCTTCCCAAAGTGCATGGTGTGAAAAACCTAATTTTTTAACTAGTGGTGGAGTTTTGGACGAACTGAGTTTGGTCTCAGAAACGAACAGTATGTCAGGTTTCTCTTTGCAGCACAGTTTGGAGAGTTCTCTAATTATCTTGGAGTCATTAACTCCCCTTATGTTCCAGGCAAGTATTTTATAATGTATGTAAAGAAAATGATGAATATCGAATGCGTAATTATAGATAAATAGAAGAAATTAAAAAGGAAATGCAAGGTGGAGCATACCTGGGTAGGTTCAAAGTGTGAGAGAATCAGGTTGGTAAAGTCAATGGTGTGGTAGCAATCCTCCAAGCAGCGCTCCATCGGGTAAGTGACTGCCTCTGGATTGTGTAAGGGATGGGAGGGGGTGTTGGGTCTGGTTCGGATGTGGGTATAGGTGGAAGGAGGGTGGTTTTGGATAGTATGTATTTAGGGGGAACCAGTTGTCCGGTAAAGAAGTTAGCCACTTGTCCATCCTTTATTGCTAATAGAGTGAGTGTTGGAGGAAGGGTCCATATAGTAGCTACGTGGGCGGCCACGTTTTCTCTTCCCAGTAAGTAAATTGATTGTGCCTAAGCCCCCTATTTTGGTAAGGTAGTGGGCCGTCAAATCCAGTTTTTGGTCATTAGGCCACTTGGTTTGGTTATGATTAGCATGCAAGTTCGAAATACTTGCATGACGGCCACGTGTTGACTTGGAGGGAGTGCAGGCTGGAAGGGACTCGGTGGGATTCTCATGCATGCGCGAGTTACCGGAGATGAGCGCGAGATGTTCACTAGAGTTGTCGATACAACGTCTTTTTCGACCACCTGAGCCATCTTCAGAATCCTCGTCCGAGCCATGTTCCCTGTGGCGGACTCTGCAAGAGTCTTGTTTGGCTCTGTTCAGGTTGAAGACTGGGAGATTGAAGGGTTTCTCTGGGCGGAACTCTGCTCTCAACCTTTCACCGGGGTTGTCGATGGTTCTCTCTTCAAGCAGTTGTCTGTAAACCACACTTGTGGGGATAACTCGCTTGCAGTTCGTCCAAACATGGCTGATGAGGCCACACTTTGCGTAGACACGAGGGAGTTGCTCGTAACAAAAATAGAGCCAAATCGGCTTACCCTAATAGAATATGAAGAGTCCTGTGCAGAGGGGTTTGCAAAGATCAATAATAATTTTCTTCCTAACATACAAACCCTGGATTAAGTGGTCTGTTGGAATTTTTTCCTGATTGGGGACGATTGCTCCTGCTACTTGTGCGAGAGAGCAAACCCTGCTATCCTCGACTGTCCCTCTGGGTAGCATGTGTATTTGCAACCATAGCCTCTGACTCCATACCTTCTCAACTGTGCCAGTGCATGAATCACTCCACTCTTCAAGAAGTATCCAGGTAGATCGATAAAAACATGGGCCCTCCTCTAATGCAATTCATATGTCATTATGATCAGAAAACAAGAACTCAAGACTTCCTCCTTGAACCGTAATAGGAGTTGTAGCTTTCCATTGAATGCTAACATGGTTAGCCATGGTGTCTTCAGTTACTTGTTGGCGTGGGAAAATGTGCCTCTTTAATGTAAGGGCTATAACATTAATAGCTTCCTCTATAGATTCGAAGGAAGGAGTTTGAAGGTCACTACTTAAATTTATTGCATGTGAGAAGAGGGATTTGATGTTCGCAGTTGCATGCATGGAATCTGTGGCGGATATTATTTCCTTTCCCTTCGAGAACATATTGGTATGAGGGATATTCTGCTTTCACGAGAGAGGATGAGAGGCAGTAACTTCCCCCGATGGGGCCCTCTGGGGACCGCAGAATGTAGGGTGGTACGGGGGAGAGAATCTATCTACAAGGAAAGGTGGAAGAATATATGTTGGAGAGAGAAGGAGAAGTTACAGAGAAGGGGGGGTTGTGTTGGCGGTGTTACGTGAGACAAAAGAGGGATAGTTACAGAGGAGGAGAAGGCGCTGGGCTAGCAAAAGATTACCGAGAAGAAGTTATGGAGAAGGAGGAGGTTATGGAGAAGAAGTTACGGACATGCAAGGTTGATAAGCTTGCTATCTTGAGAGGCAGCTACGTGCAGAGGTGGGGGCGTGTAGAAATGGGGCGATCTGATGTGAGGGTTAGAGATAAGCTAGCATGCAACTCTGGATGGAGGTTAGTTATCGGTAAGGAGGAAGATTATGGATGGAGGTTAGGTATCAATTAGAAGAAGATTGTGCAAGGAGGGAGATGAATCGACAATGGCTAGAGGATAACGTACCTGAGAATACAAACCGACACTGGGTTGATAATCGAAGAATGGAAGGTGAACCAACGCTAAGGGAAACTATTTAATGCCTCGAGGCTTAAACCTTGAGATTTATTTTGAGTGTTTGTGTTTTCTCTCATAAATTAGTTAACGAATCTGTGTTGATATCTTTAAAAATAGGGTCCAACTATGATATGGAAAAAACATGATTTCTGAAAATATTTTGACCAATCAACTTGTATCATAAATATGTATTAACCAATTAGGTGTTATTTATGGGTGAATTGTAATTGGTCAAAACTCTTTGGTACCATCATAAATTTGATATCATAAAAAAAATGGTAGGGAACGGAGAACTCGTGGGGGTGGGGATTTTTTTAATCAGTAAAAGAATAAAGGTCCTACCGGGAGTCGAACCCAGGTCGCTGGATTCAAAGTCCAGAGTGCTAACCACTACACCATAGAACCCGTTTTACGAGAGAGGAGAGATAAGAAAATTCTTATCAGGATATTCTCATAGTTTCTGTATACACAAGGAGACGAACTTTAACTACTAAATATTGTTGGATTGGAGTATCTGATCGGATCATCCATATTCCTTCCGATTATAAATAGACTTCGACTTCATATCAGCTTTAACTGAATAGGATTCGAATTTGAACTATTAAGTACCAAGTACTAACATGTTGAGAGAACCCACTATTGAATTGCTTGAAAATTCATACAGAAACAAACACGAAGAGATATCGTCATTAATTTTTTCCTATATAATCTGCACTCTACAAAACACAATTCATCTAAATTTGAAGTACATCTTTGTCGTGACAATAAAATTTGGGCCTGTTTCTCATCTCCTGACATGGAATTTTGCTGACACAGGATTGGAATGTGTTTTACTCTCGCTAGTTTCTTCCTGCACTAATAAAACAACTCACAAATCCCCAGTTTGGTTCCTAGCGCATTCCAGCAGAGGGGGGTTGACAGCAAGAATGTAGAAACTGAAGCACATATCCAAGTCCATAAATATCAATCACATCCTTGAAGCACTTTATCTTCACCCACAGGCACATCATGATTTTGCTTTTCCATGGGCTGCTCCTTATTTGTGCCACTGTGATCCTTCACAAAAGTCCTGAGGCACCCATTGATTATGCGTGGTGCTGTTCCATCACAGAACCGTTTTGCAAGATCAACCGCCTTCAAAACAGGAACAAACTAAATCAATAAAATAACAAGGTGCCAAGGAATAGAGAAAAAAGAAATCTACAGAGAAAGACGGGCCTCATTAATGACAATTTGGTGTCGCGTTCCTAGAACTGTTATTTCAGCCATTGCCAAGTGAAGAATACAAAGCTCCAGGATCCTGCCAGCAGGCTCATTCTGTAGAATTTTCCATTACAATATCGTCAGTCATAAAAATCTTACAAAATAAGTAGATGTAAACAAATAATTCCAACAGATGTAATACAATTGAATGAGTTCTAACAAAGGAAAGAAGCCACCTACAACCAATTTCAGACTTAATTGTCTCACACCTTCACCTATTAAAACATTGAGTACATTTTCCGAATCAAATAATTTTCTAATTTGTTCCATAAATCCACTTCTAGCCATCCAAAAATGTATTTCAAGATATTAGTCAGATGTGTATAAACCACCCTAGTCCCCGGAAGCCCAGTTGCAAAAGCCAATTGCATCAGAGAGGATGCCCCAATTTATCAATGTTTGATGTTTTTGATGATATTAGGTCCAGAAAACTAAGCCCATGTACTTGTGCAAAATAGATCCTATTTATATTCTGCCCGTTGGTGATTGAAAAGGCTCTATGTTCGCAAAGTCCACCATGCTAGCATTTCCCTATATTAGAAGTCAAATGCATTACTATGTTTTCCAATAATTTTTAACCAAAGAAAAAAAATAAGAAGAGAAAAGGAAAAAAGGCCATTTCTTTGTATAAAGAAATTTAAATTAATGTTCTGGATATTAAGATGTTAATACAGTACTAATGGGCTCCCTTTACCAATATTTTCCATGAAGAATACATTCGTACTTCCCATTTAAGCTGCAAAGGGACATTGCGTATCTGTTGATCCTACGATTTTTCCCTATGATGTTATTAACAGCAGAGAATACAAAGCTTTAGACAGGCAAATTTGTGGATTTGCTTTCTGCAAATTTTTGGACATAAAGAAAGAATACATTTAGAAATGAGAAAGATGCTGACTTAACTCCCAAGATGGTTCGAACAAAAGCTGTATATAACGAAGGGGCAGGGGGCAAACCATTTTCTTTCCCCTTATCTTTTTTTCCCTTCCCTTTTCTTTTCTTTCCTTTTCTCTTTTTTTCTTCTCTTTCTTTTTCTTTCCCTTTCCTTTCCTTTCCTTTTTTTTTTCTTTTTTTTTTCTGTCTTTTTATATAAGATGTGCACATGAGGCATATGCCTCTTAACACGCCTCATGAAAAAAGCGCATGAGGCGTACACCTCAGAGGTGTCAGCGCCTCTGGCATACGCCTTAGGGCGTTTGTACGCCTCCCATGCCTTTAAAAACACTGGTCAGGAATATGAATTTGCAATGAACATTTCCACCTCTTCAGAATCACTCTAAAAGTTCGTGTATTCGAGGCATAGGACCATATATATGATATGTACCTGGTGAAGGTTCAAGTTAGATTGCTGTAAGGTTTCTGGCTGGTTGTAGTGCAGACTTGGGATTGAATCCCACCTTCACCAGGAATTGAGGGGTTTCAGGGTTGGGGGAAGGCTAACCCTGCTGTGTAGCCCATTTGCCTACCCCCCCCCCCAACCAAAAAATAAATAAATAAATAAATAAATAAACAAACAGACATTTACCAGGTTACACGTATTGATGCACAAAAAATGACTAAAATGACAATTGCCAGGACAGTTTGCAACCAAAACCACATCACTTTTGCCAGGTTACATGTACTGATGCACAAAACAATGACTAAACATTACAATCATATTAACGCATCGTGAAAAATGCAATGAACAAAATAGCTGACCATACATAAAATGGCAAATTGGCAATATTATAGACTAAAATTAGCATTCAAAAGGAAATAAACTGCAGTAACATTATTTAAGGAAAAAGATATATAAGACTTAGAAGGTAAAAGTATTACAATTAATATGACGAAAAGATATATAGCACACACCTTCCAACTTGGAGGGGCTATTTTGTCAATAATAAGGACATGTTTGTCCCATCTATCCACAACTGCAACCAAAAGTTTCTTTGTGAAACTGCATCAAGCAGAGAAAAATACATTTAGTCCATCCAAAAAGACTACTGATTAAATGGTATCTCCTGGGAAGCCACTGGGAATCTGGCCATCTGGGACCACAGGGGATCATAGAAAGGAAGTCCATTTTCTTTATATTTCAGCCAGCAACAATTACTAGTGAAACTTAGAATAAATTAAAACAATTTACCGTAAAATTAGTTTGCTGTATACCAACTTTGGAGGAGCTGAGAGGACTTCTGCTTCTGAGGCACATAAAATACATAAAATTTTTACATTAATGTCTGAAAGAAGGTCCTTGTTCATGAGAAACAAAAGGTCTAACAAAGAAGTGGAGGAAATAGAAAAATGAAGGTATATTGATAAAGAAATTGAAGAAAGAAATCAGTTTAGTCTGTAACATCATATTTTCTTCCATGCTTCAAACTTGCTAGCAGCACTATGTAAGTAAATTAACAATTGTTCTTATTAAAGGATGCTAAAACCCACCAAATAAGTCTATTATTCAAACCCAGCTTATTGGACAGCAAAGCCATCTTCATACCAAATTAAAATATTGTGTCCTCCTATTCCAATACACTCTCACCACCCATCATCATCATCATATGGGATCAGCTACATGAATCCTGTTTCGCCATTCCGTTCTATTTAATGTCATATCCATTGTTAAGTTATTGGCGCTTAAACCATTATCCCTGCAGGTGTTGGAGAGGGGAACTCACTCAGAAAAGAGATTCTCCACTGCTACAAGGTTTCTAATTGGTTTTCTCTTCAGGTCTGTCATCTCTAATTGTTTAAGGAAATTCAAGTGTATTTAGTAACTCTCAGGTGCAGGCCCTTGGATCTTTAGACCTTATAATATAGAAGTGAGAAGAAGTGAAGTCTTTGGCCTCTAGGATGGACAGCTTGTCTAGATGGAACCCTAAATCAGCTATCTCGGCTTTTCTTTGTTTTTGGTCAGCTTGCACTGTGTAAACATTTCCTTCAGCTCAGCCTTTGTGTTGGTGAAGTAGTTTTACCTTCTCACATTCATATTGCCTTTCATTGTTGTTGATAACCAAAAAATATATTTGTCATATGATGCATATCCCATACTCTTTTCCCAATGTCTTTTTTTTTCTGGAAACTAGATTTTTTAACGTGTTCTGAGTTTTGACTGCTTAGACCAAGCCATTGAACATTTGTTAAATGTTGAGAATGGGTTCACGGGCCTTTATTTAATCTTGGGAATGGGCTGGTTGATGGGCCTTTATTTTGCCTTGAGATTAGGACAAATGTAGACCCAAATATTCTGTGCTGGATGTTCCTGCGTCATCATATGAGCATAGAGATGTACACAAAGGTAGCAAAGCCCAGAAATTGGATAGTATAAATTAATCAAATGGCCAATCAATGAGACAAACCAAAACAAAATTCTGGTTTAGATCTAAACCAGAAATCAATAATCATGACTTAAGGAAAACTTGAGCATGGTATGAGTCATGACAAACCAGATCTTCATCTTCAATTCAGATGCCTTCTGATACCATGATGCCTAGAGAACTGTAGTGGTTGGCAATTACATGCTCTGGTGGCTCTAAGTTTAAGGGAGTTACCTATTAATTTGGCAGATGCTGACATATGAATAGGCCAGAAGTTATACAACTGTTTTCTTGCTGATATACACAATAGTTTTGAGCTTTGCCTTTAAGGTAAGGCCTTAATTCCTAATATGGATTGCAGCAGTTCACATGTCAGCTACTGTTTTCCACAACTCTGGAATATATAGAAGCTAAAGGATGGCAAAAAATCTGGTTAAATTTGTAAGAGAAATATACAAGTGGGTGCAAGAAGAATCCCATAAACATTTTGGGTTTCTCCACCCTGTTTCTCTTTTTGAAATTCATAAGCACTTGGAACTCTGCACCAACAAGGTTTAGGTGCCAACATTGAGCATAAGAAAGCTCTTATTGAATGTTGGTAAATGCGTAAATCTACAAAACACCCAATAAACATAATGGACAGGAATACTTGACTATGGAGTCAACATAGAAGGATCAACCAAATCTCCACCCAACGGAATGAAGACTGAAGAATAGCCAAGGCAAAAAGACTGACCAATAAGCAATTCCATGAGAAAAGAAAAATAATTTTATCAGATTTCATATGAAGCGTGTACATCTGTATAATGTTTTCCATAATCACGACTATGTTGTGAACTTGTGATTTGTGAAACTAGATAAGAGCCCCCAATACCAAGAAGCTGCTGTAATGCCTATATCATGCAAGACATGGCAGGATAATTGGAGAGTGGTCAAGACAACTTATTGGTTTTAGCAACCTACAGTAAATAAGATAATCATTTGATATCCATATAATACTTTGGTAGTTTGGTTTCAACACGTTACCTTCAAGTCAAACCAAGGATGGAGTTTGATGATTCTCTTGGCGAATTTCAAACTATAGAGAAGGGCAACAATTTTGAGTTGGTAGTAACATTTGCGAATAGAAAAGATAAGCATGATTACCATGTATATTTGTTAGTTTTATATAGAGAGCACAAATTGCACAATATGGGAAAAAGAAGACAATTACATAAAGGTTAGGAAAGAAACAGAGCATGTGAAATGCTAAAGGGAGAGTTAATAGTCACAATAGCAAAAATACAGACAGAACTTGTGATATGCTAAAGGAACATAAGCATGATTGCAGACACAATAGGTATTTGGAACCACCCATCGGATGGAATGCACTAAAAGCAGTCACAGAGAACAAATTCATAGTTTTTACGCATCAGCTAGTCCAAGGAATTAACACTCGTAGTACCATACCATTAGCTACAAATGTACTACCACTTGAGAGAAACAAAGCAATTATTGAGTGGACGAACCATTTATTAGTAAAGCAACCATATGAAACAAATTTCAAGCTGAAATAACCCATTTTGGTAAGGGAACGAAACAGCGGCAATAAAGCTACACGTAAAAGGTTATACATCAGTAACTCCTTACCAGTTGCAGACTCCTTTTCATTCTTGCGTAGAAGCTCCTCTGCTTCTTCTTCCGTCTCCGTAGAGACAGGGGGGCCACTAAAGTTCATGTGATTGTATTCCAACAATAGTGCCTTGTTAAATTCATACCCGGGTTCTGAAGGTGAAGACGAGAGGTTAATTATCAGTAAACCATACAAGAATAGATGTTTTTGTATAGCTTGGTGAATGGTGATGGTGTGGTGGAAACTAAAAACAACCTAACCTCTTTTCGCATTCACTCGTTTGTCGAGTAGCCGAACTGGATCGGACCCTTCTAAACAAGAGGCATAAGCTATCAATCTGCAATTAATTTTAGTCCAAAGTTAAACAAAACCAAGCTTAACAGAAAAAAGATAGGGACGAAAATACCAACAATATGGACTTACAAAGCAAGTTCCCTGGCAGCTCTCGGACTACAAAACCTTCCACTCTTATCAATTTTGGGCAACATTTCTTTTGAAGAAGACAACGAATCTGAGGTTTTGTCTAAAGCATCCACAGCGGCCAAAGCAGGAGAAAGAAGGGAATTTCGAGGGGGCGTTACGAGAACACTACTTTTGGTGAAGGAGCCAGAGTTCTTGATGTGTTTGTGACGGAAATTAACGAATAGAGGCAGTCTAAAAGATGTATAATAGTTATAGAAACCAAATTTGAGATGGGTTTTCGAAGAAGTGAAGCTGAGAACGGAGCTACCTTCCATTTTTCTCGAATTTAAAGGTTTCAGGTCCAGGGCTCACTGAGTACTAACTGCTGAAGATAACAATATCCGCTTTCTTTAGTTTTATCTGTGCTCTTCGAAAATAAATCTAAAAGCTGAGATTTATAGTTTGCGAATTGCGATTTGGGAGCGAGGATATTACGCTATGGGATGTAGTGTGGCCTCTATCTACCAGCTATATAACTTTCTGGCTGTCTACAATCGACAGCTTTGTGCTGTCCAAAGAGCTCTTCACATGACACGTTATCCCACCATGGTCATGTACTCATATTTGTGCCTAGAGGTGTAAATGGTTGTGCCGCCCGTGGCCTGACACAAACTTGGACCGGCTTGGCACGACGGTCCATGGGCCATGCCAGGCCAGGCACGATCATGTGGGCCATGCTAGGCCCGAGGTTTTAGGTCCACGGGCTAGCACGGCACGACACGATCGAGCGGGCTGCAATCTATATTCTATACATATTTTATATGTAGTTATATAATATTATATAAATTATAATTATATAATAATATATAGTATATAATATATTAATAAAATAAATATTTTTTTATTTTATTATGATAATTTATTTAATTATTGCATATATAAGCGATTTTATATACAAAATTCATATAAAATTTTAATTTTAAGTTTTTTGTCAATTTTTTTTAAAATAAATAGCTTTGGCCCGATGCACGGTCCGACCTGCCCCAAGGCTTGACCCACGAGCCAGCCCCCAAATTTTTTACCAGGGAGGGCGGCATGGCCCGAGCCCACCCACTTTACACCTCTATTTGTGCCTTGTGGAGTGTGGGTTGCGTACCAATGTTTTGAAAAAATGAGGGTTCGACCGTTCAATCTGAACGGATGGCCCTGACAAAATAAATTAAAAATAAAAATAATTAAAATTAAAAAATGACCAAAAGTCATTAAACAAGTTGAATGTATTAACGATTCGACGACTCAAGTCAAACAGATGATTAATTGATTTAATGATTTTTTACCAAATATCAAATTTAAGGTAAAACGGACCTAATTGTGTATGTGATTCCTGAGCCGAATGGCCCGACCGTTTCAGTCAACAGCAGTTCTAAAACGATGCATAGGGCTTTTAGTTCCTACGCGACTAAAAGCCCTACAAACAGCACAGGGCTGTCAAACATAAACAGCAATTTCTTATGTGTTTTAATTATGGGGTACAAGTTGGGCCATGAGGCCATGTTAAAAGTCTAATTGACGTCAACAACCCTAACACAAATATTTAATATTGGCATATTGGGTTCAGGTTGGTCCAATTTTTCTATTTTTTTAATTGTTTTTAGATTTAAGTGTTGAGGTAAATTAATAAAATTTTAATCTTATATTTAATAGATAGAAATAGATATGTGCATACATGCATATATATACATCTATCGACACATAGTTCACAGATGTACAAAAATATAATCACATGTTCTCTGAAAGCCTGGTCGTACCCCAATTCGAGCTCAAGCCCAAACTTTCCAACTCAGGTTGGGTAAGGACTGAGCCAAAAAATCTGCATATTGAGCCAGGGCCTAAGTTTGTCATATAACCCAATCCAATCCACCCAAGTTGTAACCCTAATTACTTAGTACACACAATATAAGTACAGTATGAGTGTATACTGTGAAGATTGGTTGCAATCCTATGTTGGATTTATAGTCTCCATAAATTGTTGGTTGTGATTTGGATGTATTGTAAACGACGAGGCTTTGATCGAATAAATATATTCACATGATTTATTACATTACATATGGTTGTAGTGTATGTGTAAATTTATCAATGAGATTTTAGAGAAACTGTGACGTTTTGTGTTTCAAAGTATGATACTCATGATTTAAAAAAAAAATCCCATTGAACACCACAAATCCTTTGGGGCAACCACAGCCCCTATTTTTGTTTTGATTCGATTCCACTATCCATTGAATAATTTTGGGCGGGCTTTGTTACAGGTCCGCGGGCCATGCTGCGCCCACTCGTGATGGGCCGTGCTGACCCATGAACTCCGAACCCCAGGCCCAGCATGGCCCATATGGTCATGTCGGGTCTGATACAGCCCACAATGCCATCATGCCGGGTTATACTGGGCCAGTCCAAAAGTTGAGTCAGGCCATTATAGGCTATGAGCGGCCCGACCCAATTTATACCTCTATACCTCCTCAACTCAACCAAGGCAAAAACAACCTTTTAAAAAATTGACTATTAAACGTACTAAACATGACATTAATATGCTTTCATGCATAAATCAAGTGGATTCTTCATCTAAGAGTTGATGGGTAGGTAGAGTAGTAATTTGCATCTTTCAATTGTTATTTGATGGTGGTCCCTTGTTGGAGCTCATGCAAATAGCTGAAAAAACCTAAATCCTCCGATGATAAAGTTGTATGGTGGAATGAGCCTCCTATTTGGCTTCAACATCATCATATATATAGTTTAATGGATAGTTGAAGAGAGAGGGGAGCGGGTGTCAAAAGCTCATGGTCCTCATCACATGGATCTCTGTACCTTTAAAATGTCAAAAGCTCATGTATCTTTTAAGTTTAGTGATCATCAAGGTCAATTTCGTCAAACAAGGAAAAGAGAAGAGAATGGCGGATTGGCGGGAGAATTTCAGACAAAGATTTCGAATTTACGAAAGTCCCTCCAATTCTTCATCTGCTAGAACGAGAATGGAAAAGCTTTTCGTGGTGTCACTCCGACAAAAGCAAGAAAAATCGGAACAATATCTCCTCCCAAATCTCATTCCTTTGGGGGCATGTTTCCAATTTCGATCGACTCAACTTACCAAATCCTTCTCTACAGATCATTTCCATCAGGCTCAACACCCAGTTCTTGTAGATCTTCCTCATCGTTAAAGCAAACCCATAGAGAGAATTTCTTTCAGAGAAACAATAGATGAGATGATTTGAGACATTGTTCTTGGATTTGTAGGACAACCCATTTCGTTGTTTCAATTATTTTATAAAGTAACTACATTTATAGCTTTGAAATTAAATTTTGGGCGTCTTCTTCGTTGTTTCAGCTTCTTCACTAATGGGTAGAAATCCCAGTCAAGTTCTCTGGCGAGAGCTGGAGAACCTTGATAAGGATTCTGAGAGTCGAAAGTCAGCAATGAAAGTACTCAAGTCGTACGTGGAGGATCTTGATTCTAAGGCTATTCCCCTCTTTCTCGCCCAGGTATCTGAAACCAAAGACAACGGTTCATCTGGGGAATACGCCATTTCTCTCTATGAAGTCCTTGCTCGCGTCCATGGTCCCAAAATTGTCCCTCAGATTGACAACATCATGATCACCATCGTGAAAACTTTAACATCAAGTCCAGGGTCCTTCCCTCTTCACCAGGCTTGCTCCAAGGTGGTTCCTGCGATTGCAAGATACGGGATTGATGCATCGGCCTCCCAAGACAAGAAGAAAATGATAATTCAGTCCCTCTGTAAGCCTCTCTCCGATTCCCTAATGGGTTTCCAAGAGGGCCTTGCTTCTGGGGCCGCTCTCTGTTTGAAAGCTCTCGTTGATGCTGACAACTGGCGATATGCTTCGGATGAGATCGTGAATGAAATTTGTCTGAGAGTTGCAGGGGCCTTGGAGGAGAAGCCCACTCAGACGAATGCTCATATGGGCTTGGTTATGGCATTGGCAGAGCATAACAGCCTAATAATTGAGCCTTATGCCAGATCACTGCTAAGATCTGGTTTACAGATCTTGAATGCTGGAGTTGCTGATGGGAATTCTCAAAAGCGGTTGTCAGCGATTCAGATGGTGAATTTCTTGATGAAATGTTTGGACCCTTGGAGTATTTCCTCAGAGCTCGGGGCCGTGATTGAGGCGATGGAGAAATGTAATTCCGATCAGATGGCTTTTGTGAGAGGAGCTTCTTTTGAAGCCTTGCAGACTGCACGGACAATAGCTGCAGAGGGAGGTTCAAGATTTGAGGGTGACTCAAATTCAATGACAGAGTCAAACTTGAGTAGAAGAGGTTATAGCAGGAAGAAAATTTCATGTCGTGTTGCAGACCGATCACCTGTTTCTGCATCACCAGAGTCACAGACTGTTGATTCTTTCACTGAATACGACTCATTGGCTGAATCACCTTTGTCAACCGCCCAAGTTTCATGTAACTTTGATTGCAGCAAAAGGTCGGTGAATCGGAGACTCTGGAGAAATGGTGGAGTTGATGTGTCACTCAAGGACGGTCTGTACTCGGAGGTGGGTATGGCAAGTAACGTTTCAAATATGCTTTTTGAGGAATTTAACAATGGTGAACCGAGTAACCAGGGCGATTGCTCAGAGTTATCAGGGTTCGTGCCGGAAAGTCCAAGAAATAGAGTCTCGCGTAATGCTACTCCAAGCCCCCAGGTAAACAAACTATACATTCTTAACATCGAACCATTGATTTCTTTTAGCGTAAGAAATGGCAAGTCCTCACTAATAGTGAATGCTTTCTGATTCTGAACTCTGAGCTCAATTATAAAATGAAAATGAAGTTAGTAGAAATAGCACCCCAGTATCTAGAATGCTTGTATTGCCAATTGGTTGACTTAGAAGTTAGATACGTAATTCAGTACAGGCACCCATTTCAGCTTTTTAACAATTGCTGATATGAGAAGTAATTTAGCTAGAAGAAAAATAACTGACAAGAACGCTTTGTGCTTCAGAGATCACGCTCTCAGCTTAACATTGATGATATCTTCACGACACCAAGAAAGCTCATTCACTCTCTTCAGGATCCAAATGATGTGGATTCTGACTTTCTTGAACAACAACCCAGAATGTTCAAAAGCCTGGCCTCGAACCAATTAGGACGGAGCCCAGCAAGCAATTTTGTTGGAAATGGAATCTCTTGCAAATTAGATAGTGATAACGAAGGCGACAAACAATCAATCGAGACTGGGGAGAATGTCCAAGTTGGATCTGAATCAGTATCATCAAATAGTGATGTTCCTTCTGATGGTGATCCAGGAATTTCCAACGAAGGGGTTCCCAAAGATAAAACTGAAGTTCAGTGCGAAAATATAAAGAAGAGAGGCTTGGGGAAGCTTGTTCGTAATGTGTTCTATGTCTTTTTTGTCCTTCTTGCAATTATCATGTCAGCAATGCGGATTGATAATCAGGATCAGGAAGACTTTAATCTTGTTCCTACTTAGTTTATTTATTTTGTACACTGAACATTGACTGGATAACTCATCCAGAATTGAAAATTATGAGTTACTATGTTAGTTTTGCATTACTATATTCTGGACAATCATTGAGTAGTTTTTTTTGCTTAATAGAAGTGATGAGTATTTTGTTCTTGATACATTCATTCATCTGCTCAAAATTCCCAGAAACAAAGAAAACAAGGCAAATCAGTGTACTTATTTAAAAAGGATTGAAGACAAGCTCAAAGAAGAAAATACAGCATAAATTTTCTTTTGGTTTAGAGATTGGGATTGTGTAAATATTGCCCACCACTCCATACATCTTTAGGATCCACAATTATTGGTTTCAGCACAGCTGATGCACCTGTACAGATATAAGCATATTTGCTGTACCATTCATATTTTGAGCCGGGACTGAACATGTACATTTCATCAAATCCTTCTCTCCCTACTATAACAGAGTTTCTTCTGCCCTGCCCATCAAGCAACAAAAATAAGAACCCAAAATCAGTTGTAGAAGCCAAAGAAAAAACATGTCAAATACCAATACTCAATTGTAAAAATATTTTATACAACCAAGCATTTCCTTTGTTGTTTGTGTTGTATTATTATCTCAAGCTTCAGATGCGAAGCAAACAAAGAAGAAATAACTCATCCAAGATATGCCTGAGTTAATGTAACTGCATTCATGATCTTTCTACATTTCATTTCATTTTTCTAAAAAGTCCAGATGTTTGAAAAAATGGAGAAAAGGTTGTGAATCAGATAGCATTGTATTTTGGTTTGGAGCATGGATGGCACTACCAGGTCTGAATGGCTTCTCTTTGATCACTGCCTCAATGAATACAACTAGTTCTCTATAATTGAAATTAATGAAATTAACTTATTAAAAAAATCAAAGGATTTCTCATGGAACAAGTACCCTATCGACGATTGTGAACCTTCTAGGTGCACTCGTGTAAACTCTGCTCATTTTCTCTGTTAGCTGTGCATAGTTGGCATTCTCTTCGCCCTCCAATTCTTCTTCCATTTCTCTGTCTTCCCTCTCACCTGTTCTACCCGAGCTCAACAATCGTCCAAGTGCTGTATTGCCTGACAATTGCCTGGAAACTGGCCGTTTTTCCTGACTAAATTTAGGAGGAACAATACTGAAGTCTGATATGAATGGAGGCCTGCTGAAGTAATTTGATCCTTCCAGACCAACAGCATAAGTTGCATCTGGTGTGCTTACTGTCAGATGGGTCATAACAGAACCTACCAATTGGAGAGGCAAAGATTTCAAGTTAGAAATTACAAGCTCCGAGCTTAGGAGCTCTGGTTGGAGCGTTACAATGTATGTAACTTCAATCAAGTCATCAGAATCACCACTAATCAGTTCAACCTGCATTCAAAAGTCCCATATTTATTATCCTGAAAGGCTGTCAATCAAAACCCAAGCACCAAAGGAGGAACAAAATTAAGATAAAACAGGCCTGGATGAAGTTCCGAGGGCTCCCTCTAACATCACGAAGAGCCCAACTACTTGGAGACCATGGCACTGCACCATCACTCGAGCACTTGAAACACGGATACACCCCTCCTCGAACAACAGCCTGACCCTGTTCACCCTCTGAAACCCATGTGTGTAGCACCTCAAGCGTGCTCCCATGCCACATAGGAGCCTTGTATGAAGTGATCATACCACTCGGGAGCATCAGGTTGGCCGTACTTCCATTTTCCAGTCCCATCCCAAGCACACAGCTCTCACCAATTTCTACAAAGCTGACTCCGTGGCCACTGAATTCTCTCTTCAAATAGCCCACGTTGACTGGTGAAAGTGAAGTGGAAGCTACAGCTAGCAATGAGAAATCCCTCTTCTCTCCATGGCGAGGAAGGCTTAAGCGAACAGGAGGGGGGTAGAAGTTGAAGTGGTTAATCGGGTGTGCAGAGGTGATAGGAGTGAAGTTGGGAGAGAAAAGGTGAGCATTAGCCATGGCTGGGCTTTCTCTAATAGTGAATATATTCTACTACCCGGAAGAGAAGAGCTTTGGGTTACAGCTTGGTTATCTCCACTCTCCAGAGAGAGAGAGAGAGATGGGACTTGGGACTTGGGACTTGGGACTTGGGACCGAAAAAATAACATAGTTGACAAATGGGGCGGGACCCGTTGAGTGGTGGGCCATGTTCCTTGCTTTGTGCATCAACCTGGTCGAGGAGTATTATGGATAGAGCTTTTTGCGGCTCACTTTTTATCATCTAACAGTCACAGGATAGAGCACAGATGCATATTTCTCTTCTTGGTAGTCCAATGCTTGTGGTCGGCTAAGCTCCTCAACCTTATCTTTAACACATTTTGTTTACAAAGAAAAAGGCAAACCCCAAGGGCCCACCCAAGGCTCAATTGATTGATCTACTAATAAAATGATGATTTATCGGATATATCTATCTGATCTATCTCGTAGTACTGAAATCTAATCAATCAATCACATTGCATTAACAGTAGTACTTGGTACACTTAGTAACTGGGAAAAGAAAAAAAAAACCCAAGCCATTCTTACTCTACAAAGAAAAACAAATTTTGATTCACTTTCTAGTTTCTACAAGCTATATTACAAATTATCATGCTCAATAACTTGTGCCCCTCTCCATTCTTCACCGGGGTTTATAACTACAGGCACCAGCATTGAAGCAGGGCCAGTGCAAATGAAATAGTCCTTGCCATACTTCTGAGAAGAACCTGGGCTGGATAAGTAAATGTCATCGTAACCCATCCTTATCACCCTGAATCCGAGTCCACTCCCCTGAAAGATGAAACAGAGAATGCACCATTGTTAGATCTAAAAATCAACTTTGTACAAATTGCAAATTTAAACTATGTGAAATTATGCCTCAAAAGTAATTCAGGGAAGAAACTGGTCAGTCAATCTCATCAATTCAAACTCAGAAATTCTGTTCTTGGTAAACATTGAACCCCAACTGAGAGATATCATGCCAATGTTACCTGATCTATGGTTTGGTATTTGGAGGGTGGAGTGTTATATATTCTCTTCAATCTTTCCTCTGGAGGAGCTGTGTACACCCTGCTGACCTTATTCTTCAATATGGTATAGAGTTCGTCTTCAACCGTCCATGAACCTGGCTTGTTCTGGGTTTCAGAACCGAAAGAAAACAAGCCCAGAGGCTCTGGTTTCATTGCTTCGGCTGGGGAGAGGATTCCAAAACTTGAAGATAATGGTGGATGGGTGCAGTAAGAACATCCCTTGAGCCCATGGACAGCTGACCCTTTTCGACTCTTAAATTTTAGGTGACTTAGTATTGCACTTGCTAGATTCACAGCCTTGCGTCCATTGTTCTTCACTATGACTGCTGTTGCCATACTCAGAGGATAGAGTGAAACGATGTAGGTAACATCCAGACCTCCGCAGGCGCAGCTTAATTCGACCTGCAGAAAAAGGTGAAAAACCTGTATCTAAGCTTGATTACACTATCAAATTGGGTGCAGAATGAAGACGAAATGCATCTACAGCTTCAGTCATCCACTATGCAGAAACTACAAAGAATGGACACTGTTGAGGAACGGTACATGGGAAAGACAGTGGTAAAACTAGTACCTGGAGAGCATCGATAGAGTCGGAGTCGACATCTTTCACAACCCATTGCGACGTACAAACCGGTGACCCTTTTGAAGTCGACTCAGAAACATCATTCAAGATCAGACCAATCCCACCTTTGACAGAACCAGTCCCCCCAGGGAGGGTATAGAGAATCTCCTCGAACCCGTCGTCCTTCCAGTAGACTTTAGGCTTGTACGAGGTGACAAGGCCATCAGGAATTCGAAGGCGTAGAGAGCTGCCATTTCTGACAGTCAGTTCAACAACGGGGACGTCGTCGGGTTCCTCAATGAATTTGATGCCTTTCCGACCGAATTTCTGATCCAGAGTCTGTGAAGTAGATGGGGCGGTTACAGTAGAGGAAGAGACCTTGATCAAATTGGGTTTTGGTTTAGGGAGAGAGAAAGGAAGAAGGGAAGCCATGGTGGGAGTCGTCTTCTTCTGCTTCCACACACTACCCTGTTGCTAAGCTCATCCTTATATGTCACAACTCTAAACCGTTTTGCTTTTTCTCGATTCCATTTTGGTTTGCTTGTTTTGCCTTTACTCGGGTTTCTGCTCTTTACTTTACATTACAGCATAGTAACGCGACGGGCTGGGGGTTGGTGTAAATTCCAACGGAGGGGTATTTGTTGCAAAGTGAAAGGGGGTCGGGGACTTTATAATTTACCCCAGAGAATACACCTCACACACCCCATTCCCACGTGCATTGAGAACATCTCCCATAACGTAGGGAAAATACTATTCCATAAGCTCCCTTGGACAGATATTGACAATTTTGTGCAAGGACTCTTAACCAAAGTCCTAAATTTGTAGCTCATATCCTCTGCAGTCTGCACCATTGATGCAGAAAATTATTTGCACCAGAGCCACGCCAACCTGTCCTTCCCCCTTTCAAAATTAATAACATTTTTTTTCTAGACGGTGTGAGTGTGACATCGCTATTAGTTGGTGCAGAGGATGTAATCTCCTTCATTTACCATTCATTATATTGTCGTAGTGTGATACATATAATCAAAGGAAACAAGTCTTGGCCCATGTTCGGGAGTGCTTAGTTATTGAAAAACTAAGTGCACTCACGAGCATTTGATGGACAGAGAAAATAAACCCTTAAATTCTTTGCCATTTGATGGACGAGCATTCATTATATCGTCTCCCCTCGCATCTTGCATCGTAGAATTTTACATAACAATGAATGCACTGCCTCCGACTCTCTTTGCTATCCACGCCCCCACAGTTCTGGCAAGTGGAAACGGTTTAGCTCTATTAGTCTAAAAGATAGAAGGTGAAAAAGGAAGATATAGGATGCCCGCGTTTGCATGACAAGACTCTGATTGGAATTCAGGACTACTACAGTTAGCCAGCCTGCCTACAAATAATGGATTCTCAGTTTTCAGTTCACTACTGCAGGTTAGACATCAAAATTGAAAAATTAAAAAAGAAATTTCCCCAACTTGAGTTGCAAGCAAATATGACAAGGGAGCATGGGCTGGAACATAAATGTAACACACACTTCCATTTGTTCCTTTCAATACAATCCAAAATTTTTCTTCCATCGAAGGTTTTGGCACTCCAAAATCCAAGGAAAACCCCACTCATCTGGCAAACACCGGCACAACAAACATCATGATTAATTACCCTGTCAAAAGCTAATCCTCATCCATCGCTGCAGGCTGATCTCTCTTTGGACCACCCGCTGGTTTTGCCATTATAATCTGTAATCACAATAGGCAGTCTTAAAAATTTACCAAGTGCTGATGCATTATCAGGTGATCTCTGCAGCAAGGTATCTAGGGGATGAAAATTCTCAGTAATACATGAAATTACCTGGTCTACCCGAAGCACAGTGCAGGCAGCATCTGCAGCATATTTGAGGGCAAAGAACCTGTCAACATATCCGACAAAGATGATTAAGTCATGATTCCAGTATAATTATTAGCAACTAATAAACAGAAACAAAAATGAACACTATAAATCTTTATATACATGCTTAAATCATTCTAAATCCTAATCCTAAAACAATGTGGATGGTTTCCAGCTCTCCTGGTGGAAGAAACTACAAAGCTCTTATTCACCCTTCATATCAGTTCTAACATATAATACTATAAGACCTGACCTGGTTGCTGTTGATCACCATCAATAAACAAAACTTATTTAGGAGAAGAGTTGAACCTAACGGGAGTTGAACCACGCAGAATAAAGATACAAATTGGAAGTTTAATATTCCGTTCAAATGCGTCCACCAAGATTTATTACTGGACCTTCAAAGCCTATTTGACCAAGTTGTATCCGAGTCCAAACCCCAAGAAGCATTTGACAAAACATTATTACCAACACATGGATGATACTCCATAATGAAAAAAGTTACATGGTAAGATTTAGAAATGGTTCTAGGAAATAGACAATATGAAGTGCTCACTTGGTCACATGGAGGTCCCAAATATCCATAGCAGTTACATCCTTGCAAACACCTTCCTCCAAGTCAATACCCACTTTTGTCTTTCCAGCTGCATGATCTGCATAAAGGGTGGAAATGATCTCCATTGCATTCAGCCCAGCATTATCAGCCAAAGTTTTAGGTACCATCTCAAAGCTTTCAGCAAACTTTGCAATAGCATACTGATCTAATCTGCAAGCAGAAGTACCTTAACTTCAGCAGCTATACAGGACATGGCAAACAACAAAGGCATAAAAATCATAACCATAGAAGAATGTGACATGTTCAATGCTGAAATATTGAACAAGAGAAAAGAAGAGTGTTTTGATACCATAAGATAGTATTATCAACCTGCATTCCATATCCTTGTTTTCACTAATGTGATTCTTTCCATGAGAAACATCAAAAAATTTGGTTTTGAATTTCCATGACAGACAGCAACGAGTTCAAGACATCTCATAGATAATATAAAACCATTGGAACCAATTTCATGTAGGAGAATCCAGGAGTTATGGCTATGAAGTTAACTGACAAAGGGAAAAGGAAGAGAAAGTAACAATTACCCTGTCTCCTTAAAAGAGAACTCTTTCAGTCTTCTTGCCAACTCAATTTCACTTGCTGCAGCCCCAGGGATTATGCGACTGTCCCTGCACATAGCCTGAGATAGAGAAAACAGGTTAATGTGCCAAAAGCTGATGAAAACAGGTTGAGCAGCAGAGTTCATTTTTTATTGTCATCAACGTTTAAATTCTGCTACAAGGTTAATGTGCCAAAAGAAAATGCAAAGCATGAATACCTTATATGTATTTACACCATCATCAACTGCTCTTTCAAGGTCATCTAGTATACTGTCAGTACTTCCCCGTAAAACCACAGTAGATACAGAATTTCCACCCTCTTCGTTTTTCACAACCGTTACCTATCAATTGAAGAAATATACATACATTGAAGGTAAAGAGAGGATAAAACCAAAAAATAATAAAACAAAAAACTTCAATAATAGCACTTGTGAAAAATTGGAAATACCCGAACACCACCAATCTCCTCTACTGAAATAGAATCAGCATATCCCAGCTCGTCTGGGTTTGGTTGGCTCAGCTTCAACTATGGCCAAGATTACAAAATTATATTAGTCAGAATAACAGGAAGGATTTCCTTGAAATTTGAAAATTACAAAAGATGAGGATGATAATGAGATGATGATGCTTACAAGAGCAACAGAACCTGTAGTACGGCAAAATCGCCGCAGTTCAAACTTTGAGCTAATTTTCAAGACCATGAGCCTGTAGCAAAAACATCAAAATAAGCATGGTTCTGTCGAGAAAAAGGAAATTGCACAATTGGATGCCATGTGAAATACTGAAAATAGTTCCCTTTATTTCATCTCTACAAAGCATTTCAGCATACAGAATTGTTACCAAAAACACATCCAAAGCTGTTAAGAAAAATAGACAAGTATCCATTTTGAACAGGATCCAAATAAATTATTCCAGTATTTTTCTTCACACCAGCAAATTTCCATTTTGCATGGTGAATTAATACTCTAAATTAATACCGGTTATGAAAGAAACATGAAATATCACATAAAACTGGTTATGAAAGACACAAGAAATGAAATATCATACAAGGAACCTAACAGAATTTTTTTAAGATGCTGAGACATTTGGGGAGAGAAGCAGAAAAATAAGGAAAGTTGAAAAATGAATTACAACTTTATAGCTCTTTTAGGGATGATAATGGACTGGCCTAGGCATCCAGGTCCATGACTATAAAATTTATGTTATACTTTATAATATAAAATAATACATATACAAATACTAGTGGGCCAGACAGAACTGCAATGATCACACCTAGCTCTTTTCATTCATCCAGTGTAGCCAAAAATATGCCTTTGAAACAAAGTCAATCAAAAATAGCTACAGCAGCAAGCATAATTAATCATTTGATGTATAACTTTAAGGAAATTACTATTTTTTTGAAGATAATCATAAAATTTATTGAAGCAAAAAAAGAAGATTACAAGGAAGGTGATAAGCAATCACCTGAAAGAAATAGGGGCACTTTAAAAGGAACGTGAAATCAAACCTTTACAAAAAAAGTTCCCCCAATTGAAATTTGTGTCTACTAGGTCCTCTTTATATTCAACTTCTATCCAATTACTCCTAAAATTGCTTTTCAAACATTCTATTGATTGTTATTAGGGTAAATTTATGATGCCAGAAAGGCATGCTACCAGAAGAGCTTCGACCAATCAACCCCCAGGTGAATTTTGATGAATAACACCTGATTGGTTGCAACTTTTATTATACCAGTTGATTGGCTATAAGTCTTTCCATCATCATGGCCAAACCCTTATTATTATTGTTAGAAAGTAGTTTTTGTTTTGTTTTCATTCATATTTATACTTTTTTTGAAGTTAGGAATATAATTGCTGATTTTTATTTATATTTATTTTATTTAATTAATCATGTTATTTGTGTGCCTATTTGGGTTTTGGACAAAGATAATTCTAAAAAAACGAAGCTTCACGAATAAGGATAGTTTTTGTTTTGTTTTCATTCATATTTATACTTTTTTTGAAGTTAGAAATATAATTGCTGATTTTTTATTTATATTTATTTTATTTAATCAATCATGTTATTTGTGTGCCTATTGGGTTTTGGACAAAGATAATTCTAAAAAAACCAAGCTTCATTCCTAAAAACAGGGAGAAAGGATAATAACTTCATATAAATAAGCATTCTTTGTATTAAATTTTTTATTCATAATTAATAAAATACTAAACACAAAAATGGGATTTGTAATATTTACAACCAAGCGAACATAACTTTTGAAATAAGGAAAATTAGTAAAGAATTTTCTGCACTGTCTTTAATTTGCATAGGAAATTGAAATCACACCTCTGTCCCCAAGTTAAAGGAATATAAAGGAAAAATGTATACTACTCCAGAAGTTTAAATGCACATGAAGATCCAAGCATCAGTGGTTTAAAAAGGGGAATGTCTAATTTACTTGTAGCGTTCACAGAAATGCAATGCCATCTCTCCAACAGCAGCTCCACTGACAATAACCTTGGCACCTGAATCTGCAACAGCTTTTATAAGCTCCTCTACTTTTGCCTCCTCTGTTTTTGCATAGTTCTCTAGCTGCAAAATGATAGTCATGCTCTCTATGAGAACGGTATGCCCATTAGAAAAGTCTGGCATCAGAAGCTGGTTTTACGTGCAACCATGAACCGTCCATTGTTCTCTTAAATCATGGTAACAGAAAAGAAGAAATTGTCAAATAATTTTTTTCATTAGTATAGCTCCAATCCACCAGGGTTTCCTCAGTAACAACAACTACAGAAACAAAAACATCCATACAAAATAATTGATCTCAAAATGACTAGCAGGGCCTAGCTAGTCTTCTAGTTCTAGGTGATCAAGACACAATTTAAGTTTAATAACTTTAGTAAAAGTTCAATATTATGAAAGTTCAAATAATAAATGGGTCATTATCCAATGTTGGTACCAGCTATCCAGGTCAATAAAAAAAAATCTGATGATGGGTCATAGAATACATGAAGCTTGCTAAACAATGAAAAAGCATTCACTGCAAAAAAAATGAATAAAACTAATTACATGAAGCTATAACTTACAAAACAGAAAATGTGCATAGTATGAATATTAAAAATTATGTTCTTTAATATTGCTTCACGTTTTCCTTTTCATGGTTCTAGTGCTTTCTGGTATAGGAACCCAAATCTCAGTAGTTTGAGAATATGCGAACACCAGAATCTGCCTCTGTCATTTTTTTTTGATAGCTAATACATATCTCTCTGCTGTACTTTTTGTGATTCATAGAAGTGATCATCCTTCAGAGCCTCCAGGCTCCAGCCAGTTTTAGCTCATGAAAGTAGGTCACTTAGGCTTCTTTTCTACACAAGCCATCCTAATTTCCACATTAGCTGTTCCTTATCCTCCCGAAATCAACATCAGCTAAAAAATCCACTATTGGTGTAGACCTTTCTCCCAAGTGTTAGATGTTGCAAGAAACAAACATGCAATTTCCTTAAAGTCTCTACTTGTTGATTTTATGCTAATAGAAAACAATGTCATAGGCAAACAGAAGGTGAGATATTATGACATCCACACCCCTCTCTAAAACATTTGATCCACCAAAGTCCCAACTGATCAGCCTGGCAAACCCTGCCTACTAATACCTAATTTCTTTTTCATTCTTGCTGAAGCTACACTGTTTAACTTGAACTGACTGGCTTAAAACAATAAAACCATTCACATGGCCTCCACGCATTTACCCTCTTGTTAGATTAGAACAGTACACCATGTCACGTGACAATGACTTAATCCTTGAAACTTCCCCTCCAAACTTACCTATGTTCTTAATCAATATCAACATTTCATGCATTAATGTCATATCCCCATAATCTGGGATGAACACGTAGACATGTAAATCCTTAAGTGGAAGTACAGGTAAGTGAATCAATTGCTAACAACACCCAAAACTTCTGCATCCCCCATCCAAACTCCCTGTCACCAAAACTACAACCAAAAAGATTTAAAAAAAAAAGGAGGAGAAAAAAGAGAAGCCTCAAATAACCAATCATTAGATCATTGTCCAAACGCATGACTAACAGACTACCTTCTTATAATTGATATAAAATGAAAACAGATAGATCATAATCAGCATAAATAGAAATTTAGCTTTATTTTTCATGCAAAAGCTAAAAGTGAACATAAAAGAGTAAAGAAACGTAAAGAAAACAAGTTTCTTCCTTCGATATACAACCTCCTTGGCACTATGAATTAGAACAGTCCCCTTTGTTTCAGTCGCAGATGTATCAACACCTCCAGCAAACAGGGCAATCTGCAAAAGAGACCATCAAGTAGTATTCCATCAAACACAGAGAACAAGAAGAAGAAATAACAAATAAGTGGTACATATAATTAGCATTGCAAATCCAACCAAGTGAAACTTAGGAGCATATTCCATGTTATAGTATATAAGTAAAAGTATTGCACAAGGACTCTACAGAAAAGGCACCCAAAACAAAGAGAAGTAAACCAGTTGTTTGGAAACTTGGCTAGATTTCTAGACGTATACAGTAGGCAAATCTTGCTAGAATTACATGTCCAGAGTAGAAGACTTCTCTTTCAATTTATCTCGATTTGCACTTCTCTTTCAATTTTTCAATCTGCAATGGTGTCAGAATATAAGACTCCATGGGAGGGCCAGATCTAGAATAACTAAGTATCAACTAGTCAAAGTGTTGATGACTAGCCATGCGAGGGCCAGACCCACTGCATCACTAACTAGTCAGTCGACACTCATGACGCACTCACCTAGAATGACTAAGCATTGACTAGGTTCACTAGTCAACCACAAAATCATTTTGAAGTTTTATTCGTTTGTTTGTATCTCTAATTATTTGAAATAATATGGTATATTGCTACATTCATACTGTTACTTTGAATACTTGTTTTTGAACATGATTGCATGATGATAATACATAATAGGGAAAAATCACAAAATAAAAGAAGGCAGCAAAGAAGTTCTTTTAAGTTTTCTTCCAATTAATAGTGTGTTAGTAAGGAGTTGCCTCCTTTAGAACACAAAGGCTCTGATTATTCATCCTAGCCTATCCAGCCTAACTTTTTCTTTGTTTTCAAAAGAAAGACTGAAAATTTAATGTTCAAATTTCAATGTTGTTCTTTTCTCGCATGACTGTACTCTATAATCCTATTTAACTTGATTTATGAGATTACATTAATATCCTAAATTTGGAACATATCTTTTTTATCTTCTATACATTGCATCAACTAGAGATGCCAAAATGACTAGTCATCACTTCATTGCATTGATAACGCTGATTAACACTACTAAATTTGTCAAAATTGAAAAAAAAAAGAATGCCAAATTGTAAAATAATCAGGAGGTTCATGCAAAGTAATCAAACTTAATGATGACCACACAATACCTATAGGAAGCTCCACAAGTGAAGAAATAAATAATAGAGAAGAATCAGAAAGGAATCCCCCACACCTTTGCTTTTTCCATCCTTTTTATGCTCCCAACAGCATCACTTTTCAAGACCATACCCCGAACAATTGAAGAATTATGAAGACCTCCACCAAGAAGCTTTGCAACACGGACATTATCCACATTGAAGTTCACTGGATTCTTTGGGCAGACCTGGATGCATGCCTGTATTGAGTAAAAATACAAATTATTAGACAATGAAGGCAATAGTGACCCATATTGGCATAAATATCAACAACAGCAATAATAAAAAATTTCTTGTTCTTACATCAGCAATAAGAGGACATAAGATATTTTCTTGTCCAAATTGTTTGCTAGCAACAGCAGCTTTCATTCGGGAAACAACTTGGTCCTTGTTCCGGACATCCATTGTTTCTGAACCTTTCTCTACCAACTCATCCAAAATCTCAACTGTCTGACAAGTAAAGAGACATGGCTCAGAATAAAAGATTACACAAATTTCCAAATTCATGAATATTATTAACTATGAATACGTGGGAAAACATTAAAAATAATTTTGAAGACCTTATTTATTGCTTTTGTGTATCCACTAATTATTTCACTTGGATGTAGGCCCATCCTGATAAGCTCCTCTGCATTTTGTAGAAGCTCCCCAGCAAAAGATATCGTCAAGTTAGCTCCATCACCTATTTCCTCTTGTTGAGCCTTTCCGGCTAATACCAATATCTTGGCTGCAGGATGCTGGACCTCAAGTTCATTCACAATTGTTGCAGCATCATTTGTGACAAAGAGCTTGTCCAGATGATTGATTACCATCTTATTCATACCTGAACATATATATATGAAATTTTAGAAACAAATGTATTAGCAGCTTGTAAATCTTAAAGCAGTTCATGTTATGTTGAGAGAAATGTCCCATTTCTCATTAATATGGAAAAATGAAAGCATATCCCTTCAGAAATACAAATGTAAGATAAAGTAAGAGCAGCCCTTGTTCCTAAAGCTTTTCTGGTTCCTCACGAACATTGCCACTTTTATTCGTCTTGGAACCGTAATAAAGAAAAAAACAACAATCAGGTTCGTTTTTTCATAGCTAGATTACTGAAACTTGCAGCATCCTACTACTTGTTTCCTTCTTTGCCCTAAAATCCCAAATGATGCCTGTGAGTTCGGACAACCATTTTCAAACAAATGAAAACTAAAGACATTCCAATTCCAATGTCAAATAATCAGTGAACAGAAGCAGCGCATCGAATAAATAGTTAATACTACAACAAATGGACACTTTAAATATTCAAACTATATGTAAAAAAGGGCTTAAATCAAACACCAAGAAACACTATGAGTCCCGTGACCACAAATCCTTAATCTTTCATCAGGCTTTCAAAAATACGGGAAAAAAACGAGAAAATAATAAATTTCAACCAGGATCTGATCAGAACAGTTACCATTTGGACCGAGAGATGTCCTGGTGATAACGGACAGCTGCTTGCAGGCATCAATGTTCTTGAGAACTGCTTCGTCAAGGCCAGAGAGATGCTTGTGGCCTTCTTTGAGCATTGCTTGAATCCCGTATGGTTGCATTTGAAACCCCATTTTTTATACAAATCTATCAAACTAGGCTGACTTCGTTCGGATCTTTAAGCTACTACTCGGCCAGGACCGAGGGAGTACGAGTGATCTCAATAAAACCCTAGAAATGGCGACGTTTCCGCAAACGATGAAGCGAGTGGCAGTAAGACCTACGGACCCTTTAATAAGGAAAAACCCTCTCACTGTTGCTTTCGACACAGAGTAGAGTAGTAGAGAAGAGGTAGCGCCTTCGCCTCTCCAGTCTCCAGTCTCCGACTTAAGCAGAGAAAGAGAGTTGGAAAATTAAAAATAGGCGAAGATGCGAGAAGAAATTCCAGAAACCGCGAAAACGGACGTTACGGACCTAGGGCCTCCAGCCGATGATAGATTCATATAACGATCTAGTGTAGTTGTGACGTTCTAAGTGTTCAACTACGTAAGCAGGGACGAGAGAGGGATTATGGCGTATGGTGATGTTCCGTTGGTAATTTTGGTTTGGGATTATGGCGTATCGAGACCGGATCTGCTCCTTACAGAGGGCGCCTCACATGCACATCCTACCATCCATTTGAAACATCTCCCGTACTAATTAATTATTATTCACTGGAGATGTTTTCAATGCATGGTGGATGTGCATGTGAAGCGCCCATTCGTGAGGAGCAGATCCCGTCTCAACATGATCACCTAAACTAAAAGGAAAATGTTTAAAAGCATAGACACGTGATTGTTTATTCCAAAATTACCCCTAAATTGAATGGAAGATGTTAAATAGTATAGATCCATTTATTTTAAAAGTACACTAACATGTTTTTTGTATAAAAACAAAATTGACCAAGTAGAGAAAAATATAATGGTTATTCATGTTTCATCAGGGGCAAAAATGATATTTTCGTTTTTAAATGCTTTTATTAAATTTATTTGAACGGACGATATCACAATAGTGCTAAAACTGTCGTTTCCCACTTTTATCTAATGAAAGGTTGATTAAGTAAATTGATTATGAACTATAGGGGATGTTTTAGTAAAACACAAACTATATGATAGGTTTTAGTAAATTCATGAAACTATATGGGGTGTTTTGATAAATGACCCTTTTGGGTTATGGTCTTTTAAAACAAATTTTTTGTGATTCTAAAAATTTAAAGTAAAGATGATTTTTTTTTGTGTTTATTTTTACATATTTTAGGGCCCTTGTTCGCTTTTTTCAATAAATTCCTTATATGGGTAAATACACTTACCCAGGTAAGTGTTTCACAATAAAGATTTACCTGGGTAGGTGCATTTACCCATGGTTTTTTTAATTATTTCATATGCGAATAAGGCAATGTCTATTTTAGCAATAAAAAAATTATTATTAAAAATGATATTTTTGTCCCATTCAAGTGCTAGTGATTTATCTTGGGTGTAAAAGTTATTTACCCATCTAGGAGATGGTACACAAAAAAATAAACATTTATTGGTCCCCACATAAATTTTAAAAAAGAATAAAAGAACGTCCCCTAGATGTCAATGTTATTTTGATTTCTAAAATACATCTAGGTATAATTATTCATATATACAGTATACAAATAATTTATATATGCCTTTTAAGCTGATCCCATATAACACAAAAGACACTTTGTTAATAAAACATTTAGGGCCCTTTCACATACCCATTACATTGTATCATTCCACTTTTACCCTTCTATCTGATCTAGTTGACTAGTTAGTAGACTTGTTCATGGGTTGGGTTCGAGCCATGCTTTGTAAAAATTTAAATGATCCCGGTAATGACCACACAAGATGCCAACTGATTAGTTGGTAAGGCCTGTTGAATCCCACCTGCACCAGGGTTGGGAATAGGCTACCCTCCCTTGACATTTATTCTTTTCATAATCTGATTTTCTTGAAGAAAAAAGGTTAGTTCCTTCTACATCCATCGTTAAATTATTACTGCTTAATCACTTCTTACTACTTTTAATACCCATGCCCTTTTTGATGTGTACCTTGGCCTTTTTGTTAGGGGTATTGTCGAACAGGTGATCTTTCATGCATATAAGTATAATTAAACCATCTTAATTGATTTGCTCTCATTTTTGTCACCATCTATGTACCCGTGTAGGCATGCAATCGGCCTGAACTTGCCGATTCCCATTACCATCCAAATAGGGCTACAACTTGGGTGGGTTAAGGTTGAATTTTTGTCAAAACTTGAATGAACTTGATCCAAAGACAGAGTCTAAGATAGTGTAAAATGTTAATTCTATCCAATTGTCCTAAACTTGCTGACTCGTAGGAGTGAATTCGAGCTGAACTGAATAGTATAAGGTTTGATCTCGGTTCTCCAAGGTTATATAAGACTTGAGCTCGACTTGAAAAAATATATTTTATAAAAATATAAAATTATATATATAAATATTTTTATATTAGGCTTGAACTTGGCTCAAAGTTCGATTGAAACCGAGCCGAGCCGAGCCGAACTCGATATGACCACCCCTACTAACTCCCATTTTTATCCAAATAGAAATACAACTTGGGCAGGTTATGGTTGAACCTGGCCCAAAGCCCGAACCCAAAATAGTGTAAAATGTTAACTCTATCCAATTGGCCTGAACTTGCCGACTCCTTCCAAATAGGAATTTCCTCAAAATCTGAATGAACCTGACCCGAAGCCCGAACCCCGTGTAAAGTGTTAATTCGATCCAACCCAAGTTGCATCCCTATACGCTATACCCAAAACCCAATCATATGTCTGGGCAGTTTTTGATGGGCTTCAAACATGGACCGGACTGAGTAACTGGACTTAATTTCCAGCTAACGATCTCTTATTTTAATATTGTTTGGTGGCGCTAAGAAGATTGCAAAACTGCGGCTTTTCGGATTTTTCTTGGGTCTTGTTTTCTTATTCGAGATTTGGCTGTTCGAAAGCTGTTAATCGAATCAAAGGTGGTTTCAAGCTTCACCTGGAAATATATAAGATGGATGGCTTGAATACGCTGGCTTTCAGCTTCTTCTCTTTCTAGTATCAGTTTCATCTTCCCGTGTTTGATTGTGTTCGTGCTGTAGTCCATACTAATACAATTTCTACTGGTTATTTTTGTTCCTACTAGACCGTTTGCAACTGTTGTTTTCTGGGTTTCGCTTGCTCCGATCGGGTTTCTGATAAGAGACCTTCTAATTTATCTTCCGTAGAATTTCATACTGTTGATTAGACTACTTTGTCAAAAGCTTCATTTGGTTAACTTTGATTTCGCTCCATAAGATGAAAAAAAAGCTGAAACTTTTGCGTATCGGTTTTGTGCTTTTTGATCAGATATTCTCATCGGGTATATAGGTTGTTTTTTCATTTATATTTTTGATTGGGCACTGCAACTTTTCTGCAAAGTTATTTGAGTGCTCTTAGTGCGAAATTAGAACCCTATCCCCTGCAAAGTTATTTGATTGGGCATCCGTTATATAATGCATTCTTGCTATTTAGTGTTTCTATTCTACCTCGATGTCGTGCTTATAATCAATTCTGTTTGGGTTTGTTCTTTTTAGTGTAGAAGCAATTCCTCTGCATATGATCATTGCTTTCCACACTGTCATAAGTATAAGATGATAACAGAATAAGTGCACTTAACTGGATAAATGTTTCATGGGCAAGGGTATATTACAAAGATGCAAACAAACTAGGCTAATTTCAAGAGTGAAAAAAATTGGAAGTCGATTAGTAGGCAAGGAAAAAAACTCCCGTACAAAGTGAGCAATGGGGTTGTTGAGAATTGAAAGAGTAAACTCACGGTCATCCAGAGGACCAGAAGTCCTGCCAGACTGGTGAGCGCTAAATATTGCAAGGCCAATGACAAATGATCCGAAACCATGGAATGTTAACTTGGCTAGGTGAAACCAACTGAACACATTTGAAATGCTAAACTGCAGCTCAAGGAACTCAAAACCCAGGTGGGATTTATTAAAAGAATTTAATGAACCACGTTAACCTAAAAGTCTACAATGCAAATGAAAAGAGTAGCAAAAATAAACAAATAAACAAGAATAAGAACTGTTACATTGTGAGCTCTCTAATAGCAACAATGACTAGACAAAGAAAAACACAACTACCAGCAGAATTGCTGATGCTATTAGTGAAGGCGCAAGGGGGGAAGACGGTGAGATCTGAATGGTGAAGTTACAATTCCCTTGTGAAGCGTTCTGTGTCGTTACCATGGCCAGACCTTGGAAATTACAGCTCAAATCTTGCTGGTTCTGAGCTTGGTAATACATGTTAAATGCATAAGAAGCATTCCCCTGAGTATCCAAGTTGCCACAAGATGACCCATAGCCAAGTGCAGTGCAATCAGAGTGGGTGCAAGCAAAATTAATGTTCTCTCCAAGTTTGCTCAGGTCCTCGGCATTTGGATTGAGGACACACCATCTTTGAGGTAGATATTTCACGTTCTTTGCTGCCACGAGAAAAGTATTTTGGCCCTGACCTGAGAGATCCATTTGGTATTTGGGCTGCCCATCATATCTGAAGATTCCCCAATGGCGTTCAAAGTTCCCAGGAGCAATACTCTTGGCATCTTCGTCAATCAGGCCAAACAAGTAAACTTCCAGGTACCCAGGTCGTAAAGGAGTGCCTTTGTTAGCTGCAAGTCGAGGCAAGAGACCATTATAAAACCTCTGAGCCAGACCCACATTGGCATTCTTATCTCCGTCTGTGGGCCAACCCACCTCCCCAACCAAAATGGGCATTTCGCCAAATCCCACAGCCTTGAGAGCTGAAACCAACGTATCAAAGTTGGCATCAAAAACATTGTTGTACTGTATCCCATTATCAAGTAGAGGGTTTGGTGTCCCATCAAAGAAGGCAAAATCCAGGGGGAAGTTTTCATTGGCATAGAGACTTAGGAAAGGGTATATGTTGACAGTGAAGGGAGCATTATTCTTGTTAAGGAACTGCACAATCTGAGTCATGAGGTCGCTGATATCAGATCTAAATCTTCCAGCAGAAGGGACACTATTATCAGAAGGTGAATTATAGACATCAGCATTTAAAGGTACAGTAGCCTTTATGCTGTCTCCATGGCCAGCCTCATTCAGTGCATCCTGGATGTTCTGAAGAGCAGGGAAAGTGACATTCAAAAATGAATTGTTGTATGAGGCGAGAAATGGCTCATTCCCCACAGCCACATACCTGCCAAAATAAAACAGAAAGTTGAAACATGAAATAACTAGTTAATGCATTAGAGTGAAAAGATAGAGAATAATAGTTATCTTCATATGATTTGTGGTGTATGCCAATCAATTCAGGAAGACTAACTTGTGAATGAAAGGAAACAGCAGAGAAAATATACCAATCAAGTTAGTCCAGTAGACATTAAACTTACAGAATCTAAATTTTCATTCTATATTGTTAATTTGTAGTAGTTGGTCTTCCAACTTCCACTTGATGTTTTCTAGCCCAAGTTGTTGGACTGTGTTCTGTGTAACATAAATTTGATAATTTCCACATTCCATAATGAATCTTTATATACATTGCAATAATCAGAACCACATTTTAATAGAGTCTTAAGTAACGTTGGAATTCTCCATTTGACCTTATTCTAAAGTTTTATCTAATCATCAATGAAACTTCCAAATATTTAAGTTAAAAAAGAAAAAAAAAACTTGGAGCCAATTTTTGACTAATGAATTTCATTACTTTCCAATAACATTTGTATTCACAATGTCCTAATATATGGTGGAAATGAATTTATTTTCTTAAGGAAAATCCTAAAATTACTACCTTAACAACTGGAAATGGTTGCTTTACAATCTAATCTCAGGTGGAATATAAAACCAAATGAAATCATTTTATTCCAGGTAGTTTCCAAATGCTTTATTACTGAATTAAGTCTTCTCCATCTACCAGTTTAGTACTTTAGTTATAATCTATTTGCTGTCTCAAAGTTCAGAAATGATTTGTAACTTTGTTGTATGATGGAGATCGAAATATCCACCTATAGTCCCTTTTTAAGTCATTTCAGATCAACATCATAATCATCCAAGTGTTGTCCCAACTATATGGGATCAGCTACATGAATCTTATTTTGCCATTCTGTTCTATTTTGTGTCATATCCGTTGTTAAGCTATGGGCCATTAAATCATTTCTCACCACATAAGTTGTTCCCTATCTATGAGCAAGATCACTCTAGTTTCTTTATTCAATGAAGAAACTTTGAAAATATACAGTTTATGGTAATTGGTATCAGTATATTTGCAAATAATGAACAAGATAGCTAGTGGAAAATTTTCCTTTTCTTGTTTATCTAAAGATTTTCTCATATGCTATTTCTATTAATAGACAACATATCAAAAAACCAATGTATATATGCAAGCATATAGATCACCTGGCACATCAGTATTTTCATGATTACAGTGAGAGAATATTCTATACATTCTTGCAAAAGAATAGAAAACCAAACATGTATTCTTTAGTTTCACAATTATGATTCATATATTTCATAGAGTTCTCTATGCACTAATGTGGATACTCATTTTTCAAGTAAATTGAGTTTAGCTGAATTATCAAAAAAAAAAAGTCCTTTTCACCTCATATGGTTTTCGGTGAAATTTGCACATGCTGAAGCACGGACCTGGAATCAAAACCCACCAATATTATGTATACCCCAGTAGATACATTTAATATGCCAGTTAGAAGTAGGCTGCTGATGCCCCAAGAGAAAAGTCACTTAAAATCTTAAGGCTTGGTGCATGGAGAGCAAGAATTGAAGGATAAATTTCATTTTTTCTCAAACAGGGTCAGAAGAAATTTAACATTCTAGATGAAACATTTCTTCCAGCAGTATCTATAAAAACCATTGAATTTCGCAATTGACTCCAAGAGTTTTTCAAAGCAAACCCATTTGAATTTGAAAACCATTAAAAATTCCAAGATCTCCTCCATCAACCAGATACTAAAAGAAGCTGCAGAATTAATCCACATATGGTCTTCAAATTATGGACCACAAACTATGGAGAAAGATGCATTGAGGGAGCAATTACATTCCACCAGGTAATTGCCTTAAATAATGCATTACATAATATTCAATTTTCAAGAATTTTTGGTGCTTCAACCAGGAAATTAAGGGATTGGAATCCCATATGCAAAACCTTTGGTGGTTTATAGGGGTTCCGAATACTTTCAATCGGAGAGGGTCAACTATTGATTGTTAGAATGATGAAGATGGGATTTGGTCCCCTATGGGTTCTGAATCCAGATTTGTGCCCTCGACATACACATAATTTGTTAACTCATCCAGCAACAAAATATTTTACATTATGGGGCAGAAGAACAGACAGAAAACAATCAAAACCAAGAAAATGCAGAGCATGGCATTAATGGAGCTGAATTCTAGTATAGTATACATCCAGAAGCTTATTAAAACACAAAAAAAGAGAACAAAAATAAGTAGAAACAGTAATTACTACCAGATATAATGCTATGAACCATGTAAATTGAAAAACTTAAACAGAAAAGCCTGTCTAGTTTAAAACGGAAGCCACAAACGCAAATGAAATTGTTCCGGATTCAACAAAAGGGAAAAATAGTCAAAGGAGAAAAAAATAAAAAATAGTAGAAATCTCACTTGATGTTTACTCCTCCATTGAAAAGATAACGAGTGATGTTTCTCTTAACCCAGTCTTTAGCTCTGCCGTAGTCGTTCATCACCGCAAGCTGATCATTTGGAATGGCAACCATCACTTCAATCTCGGTCCCAGCCAACGCACTCATTGTATTCTGATCGGCGTCGAATAGCTTCACCTTCTTTATACCATTGTCCTTCATCATCTGAACTACAGTATTAGGCGGCAACTTATGCGTTGCCATAGTTCCCCAGTTCACACCGAGACCCTCAACAGCAATAGAGCCCAGCAGAACAGAAAAGAAAACCAACAGAAACCAGAGCCTTGTCATGCTTTTTTTTTATGGAAGATTACTGCCTCACCGTATACCACCAGAAATGGTGGTCGAAAGAATTCGATTTTTCAAATAAACAAGATAGGTTATCAAAAAGCGGATGGGATTCGAGATGGATGGTATCAGTGGGGTTTATATATAAAACAAAGTGAGTTTTTTTTTTTTTTTAGCCTTATTTTTCTACTAAACTGAGGTGGGAAAAAGAACGGTTACTTGCAGCTGGGTTTCACGGGGTCTGCAAAAATCCAGCGGTTTATCCGAGAAAAGCTGAGATCGTGGAGAAGAGCAGAGCACTATGCAATGCAGACAAGTGGAAAGCAAGATACCGGCAAAAATTATATATAATATAAAAGAAAAAGGAAAGAAGAGAGAAAATTGAAAAATCCAAGGAAAGAAAGAAAACAGAAATCCACTAAAACCACCAGCTTTCCAGGTAAACAAATACCTCCACGGTTGTACGAAATAACCGACTCGGTATCCCAGACGCTATAGCCTAAAGTTGGTTTCTGAAAAGCTGAATTGAAAAGACCAATCTTTAATGCTGACATTCAATTCAACAAAGAAAACGGAGAACGACAATGCCCACCACCAAAACCGGCGTAAAAGATCGATATCAGAGAGTGGGTTCTCAGACAGATCTCGAAAAAATCTCAACTATCAAGATAGGAAGGATAATAACTATAAGACAGCAAGAAAGCCAAAGGTTTGTATTAAACCCAAAGTCCAAGACTTTCAATAATGTATTCTTCCTATAAGGCTATAACAAATGCGAAACAGAAATGCTAAACCAGACGACGACGAAGAAGAAAATAGCACAGACAAACCAACGCAGAAGAAACCACCGTTTTGAGACGAAGAAGTCAGCAGCGGAGCTGGTCAGGAGAGCCGGATTTTGCTAGGTGCGTTTGAACTTTGAACTTTTTTTTTTTAATGTAAGAATGGAACAGTGGGGAGGCCGAGATTGAAAATCCGAAGAAGAGATAAAGCAACGGGGCAGTGAGCTCCTTGTTATTATCTTTTGGGCTTCCTTTGTTATCTCTCAAGGATCAAATCTCTGATTTTGGAAAGAAGAGAGAGAGAGAGAGAGAGAGAGTCGAACAGAAACGGACGGTTGCTTACTTGTCTCTGAAAAGCTTGAAAAACTTACGCATGTTGCACGTTTGACGGAAGTGCCTCGAGAGAACGGCGAATCGAATGTCAACCAAGGGCATTTTTGACTTTTAATACGTAGCTCCTAGCTGACTAGCTCCACCCTCCACGGTGGCGCGACTCTGAGCAATAGAATATTGATACAGTAGGTGGAAAGTTGAATTTCAAAGAGGTTATGTATCAAAAACGTGAGTCGTTTGGTCACTTTATTGCGGAATTGAGCTTTGATATTGTTGTTGATCTGGACGGCCTTGAATGGTCCACTTAAACTCTAGAATAGATCAGATGGTTAACAAATCATCATGGGCCCCATGCTGATGTCTAATCTTGCCGATGTTTTAATACTTCCATTCATGGCGGTTGGTGGGTAGCTGATAATGGGGAGGGGAGAAAGGCTTGGCTCTTGGCTGTTTGCGTGTCAATGTGTCATGTATATGAATGTATGAAACTTCAAAATCAGCCCAGGATGTATTTTTTTCCCAAACAGCTAAACTTATCAAACCAAAATCGGATTAATATTGTATTCTGTTTTCTGGGTAATCTCAATTTCTAGGGAAGATTGATTCCAGTCTTTCGGTTTGAAGTTTGGATCGTTTGTAGAATCGTCCTTGGTAGAAGCTTCCCCAACTCTCTATCTGTGAACCAGATCCAGATGTACAAGTTAAGAACATGGTTTTAAGATACTAAACCTCAAGCTTGGTCAATTAGTACCTCGTCTCTTGTTTATAATTTCTTCCAGCGTCAAAGACAACATGAAGCAGCGAATGTTGTTGGATTGATTCGCTTCATGGAAAGGATTTGGAATTGGATTTGTCGGATTGCAATTCATGAAATTGGAATTAGATAAGATGAATGTCTAGATGTTTAGAGAGAGGGGGAGAATTCCTATTTTCTAAGTCAACCAAAACCATGCAGCAAATGCTTGGACTTGGAATTGGTTCCGATTCTAATTCCAAACAATACCATGAGCCTGGCTTATTTAAGAACGATCCCTTGAAGGATTTAAACTTTTTTGTACGTATCGCCAATTTTTTTTTTCCTCCACGAGAAGCAGTTTCAACTTTCAAAGAGCTTATTCAAGGCCAAGCAACTATTAGTGAAAGTATAAGGGAAGAGCAGGTGAATTTAGATTTTAGTCATCACACCATTCTCACTGCCTTTTGCAGACGTGCATTGGCAACATCTCCCTATTTACGCATTTCTATTCATGGGGAGATGTTCTCAATGTACGGATGCATAAAGGCTGTGAGAACGGTTTTGTGGGGATTGAATCGGGCACAGGTTGAATGGGGCTACCCCAAACCCATGTTTGTTCCGTATCAGATAAATACAAGTCATGTAGGGAAATTAGAGAAGAAGAATAAGATTAGCTTCATCATCCATCCTTCACCCACCTCTCGTCAAATAATCAAACTAAGCCCAGCCCATTATCATGGAGTCCCTTTTTCTGGATTCTCTCGTGGCATCCCAATCCATGATCCACCTAGGTCACCCCCACCTATGCTCCAAACGCTATTATGACTGACTCGCCCTATTCGAAGGGAGACATCTCACGTACACNCCCCCCTCTTATTGGCCTTAAACTTGTTAGCCTTTTAGGACGAATTAAACGAGTCAAAAATCATTATTAAAAACACTGGCAACTCAGACAACATTTGAAAACATGGACCTAGCTAGCTAGTTCATATCAAACAAACTTCTCATCAAAACATGTTGATCTCATCCAATCCATCCAATTTGAAAAAAAAAAAAGAAGACAAACACGTTAAATAAGGGGTCCACAACCCATAAAGAATCATGTAAAAACGTATGATAGAGTTGGTCCCAGTGTCCCACATTACATACACATATCTAGACGTAGTGAACAGAAAGTGCGGTTGACCATGCAGTCCCAATGCAGCGAGCGCTCTTATTTGATCAAATTAGTTGGTTTTGGGGTTAGGTGTGGGTGTTAATGTATGAAATGAATTCAAAGGGGTGGCTAGACTTTTTTTTTTCGCTTTATGGTCTACAAAACAGAAGGTAACTAGATTAATTTTACAATAAATGTCAATTCTCTCTCTCCCTCTTGTTTTTTTTTTGGGTAAAAACAATAAATGTGAAATAGATAATGCGATCATCCAGCAACAAAGTATACCCAGAAACGTTCTTTATCTAGATATGTTGTGACGTTTGCAAATGAAAGTCTTGGTCTTAGTTTGATCGTCCCTCTTCCTAAATTGATGCTCCTAAACAAATTTAAATTGGTGAACAGAACATTTCAAAGCCAGAAACCATCACGGCGACCGTCTAAATCAACAGCGATTCGAAAACCATAGAGATACAATAATAAATTAGGTTATATTTTTTAAAATAAAATAACTGACTATATTATTATGAATAATAAACAACCACGTAGAACCAGTCTTGAACCAATTATTTAATTGGGATCATATCATAGACCTCATTATATTGAAAACAATAGTCAAAATAATACTAATATATTTTTATGTTAATACGTAAATCATTTTTAACTAATATTATCTTATTTATTATTTATCAAATTTACTATTTCAAAGTTCAAACATGAAACATGTTAAAAAAAATACAAGAAAGATAAAAAATTATATATTTCATAAAATGTTTGGTTCCAGACCTACATCAATTCTGGACAAGTAAGAATAAGAATCAATTCAATAATTAATTAAGACAAAAGCATGGAACTAAAATCGTTATAATAATTATGTTCAATTAATTTAGCTTCATCAGGATAGACCCAATCCATTGGTTCAGCCCTAGTTTTTCTTAAATAAATAAATAAAAGTCTATTGTGATGAGACTGGTATATGCCATCTCAAACCAGACCCGACCTGTTGATAACAATAAATATTGGGCTCAATGGGAGAGAATAATTTGTTAGTAAATTATTTCTAAATAAATAAATAATTTAGTAAATTATTTCTAAATAAATAAATAATTTAGTAAATTATTTCTAAATAAATGCTTATTGAAATCTATCTCTTAATGTCACATCTCTTTTATTCCACTAATTTATTTTATTAAAATAAATAGTTTGTTTAATTTTATTAAATAAATAAATGTTTAGACAATAATAATAAAATGAATAAATAAAAGTTGAGAGAGAGAGAGAGAGAGAGTTGAGAAAGAAGAATGACATTTTATTTATAGGATGTCATAATAATAAATAATTGTATATGACACTACTGTAATTTTTGAATGCCATTGAATCAATTATACAAGTAGATTTGTCTTATATGTGACATTGCTATAGTTTTTAAATATTATAGAGGCAATTATATAAGGAGGTTTGTCTTATATGTGGTATTCTTATAATTTTCAGACAAAAAGAGGTGGGAGAAAAGAGAGAATAAAAGAGAGAGAGAGAGAGAGAGAGAGGGAGAGACGTGTCAATAAAAACATATAAATGTCAACCTCACAATGATGCCATACACCCTCCCAATGCTTTATGTATATAGATAGATAGCAAAAACATCACGAGTGGCTGGCTAGCTGCAATGTTCAAGGATGCAATAAACCAGATAACATTCCAACGATTCACACAAGTGGCTGGCTCACTTTCCACTTCTATCATCCAATTGGAGTTACGAAACAGAAAACATATGGGCTTCACTTTTCAGGATCAATCAACTGAAAGTGGAAGGTTAAAGTGTGACTGTGAGAGGGCAACACATCGACATGGTGGGATCGCACTAGGTAGGTAGTAGGCACCTAGGCAAGCTACTATACATAAAAGCTTAAGCAAGGGGCAAGCATTAGCAGAGCATCAACTTAAGCTAAAATGTAAGAGTAAAAAAGAGCCAGAATTATGCTACAACTCCAGGTTATCTATTTATCAATGTCAAAAACTTCATGAAATTCATTATTGCTAAGATTGATTGATGCCTATGAATCCCCAATTTAGGCATTTCAAAGTTGATACTACCATGGGCATACTTTTTACTACACTCCCTCTTGGCTCTAATCAACAAACACGTAAGTGACATCTCTCCTTTATCTTGACAACTAATGAATGATCTATACTAAGTATGGAGATCAGTAATGTTAAATTTACATTATGGAATTAATAATGTTAAATTTATATTTATTAATATTTTAAATAATTATTAAAATTTCAAAAAATAACTTTTCGATAATTATTAGAGTATCGATAGTTTTCCTTTGTTATGATACATAGAGGATTAATGATTAACTGAGATTGATAGAATGTATAGATATATTAGATTTCTGTTTATTTTTTTAATTTAATTTAAAATAAAAATAACAATACTAATTTTCTTTCCAAATAATTCAGTCACTCTACTGTTATTTGGAATAAAAAAACGGCAAACTAAATTATGGACTTAGCCACTTGGCTGGCCAATAAGTACTTAAATGCTGACAAGACAAGCAATGAAGCAAATACGAAAATGGACAAGGATGGGTAAAAAAGGAAGAATGAGAAAATATTGCTACGAACTAAACACTTTTACTAAAAATGAATTCTTTTCAGATTGACAAATGTCTTATGTTGCTCAATTTCATTCTTCAAAAAAAAAAAAAAACGTGTTGATATTCATAAACCGCCAACCTAGGTCTCTAAAAGTGCTTTCATAAAAATACTTTTATAAATGTACTTTCATAAAAGTATATTCTAAAAAGAATGTAGCCCATGACAAGAATTTTGTAACCAAATACTCTAATGCTATTTATTCTTGGTCATTAATTAAAAACATCTGTATTACAAAATGTCATAGGCATACTTTTTACTAGACTCCCTCTTGGCTCTAATCAACAAACATGTAAGAAGTGACATCTCTCCTTTATCTTGACAACTAGTAAATGACCCATACTAAATAAAGGGAATCAGTAATGTTAAATTTACATTATGGAATCAATAATGTTAAATTTATATTTATTAATATTTTAAATAATTATTAAAATTTCAAAAAATAACTTTTCGATAATTATTAGAATATCGATAGTTTTCTTTTGTTATGATACGTAGAGGGTTAATGATTAACTGAGATTGATAGAATGTGTATATATATATATATATATTAGATTTCTGTTTATTTTTTTAATTTAATTTAAAATAAAAATCTTTCCAAATGATTCAGTCACTCTATTGTTATTTGGAACAAAAAAACGGCAAACTGAATTATGGACTTAGCCACTTGGCTGGCCAATAAATACTTAAATGGTGACAAGACAATGAAGCAAATATGAAAATGGACAAGGATGGATAAAAATAGGAAGAATGAGAAAATATTGCTACGAACTAAACACTTACTAAAAATGAATTCTTTTCAGATTGACAAGTGTCTTATGTTGCTCATTTTCATTCTTCAAAAAAAAAAAAAAAACATGATGATATTCATAAACTACCAGCCTAGGTCTCTAAAAGTGCTTTTATAAATGTGCTTTCATAAAAGTACATTCTAAAAAGAATGTAGCCCATGGCAAGAATTTTTTAACCAAATACTCTAATGCTATTCATTCTTGGTCATTAATTAAAAACATCTGTATTACAAAATGTCATAGGCATACWTTTTACTGCACTCCCTCTTGGCTCTAATCAACAAACACGTAAGAAGTGACATCTCTCCTTTATCTTGACAACTAGTGAATGACCCATACTAAGTATGGGGAATCAATAATGTTAAATTTACATTTATTAATATTTAAAATAATTATTAAAATTAAAAAAAATAACTTTTTGATAATTATTAGAATATCAATAGTTTTCTTTTGTTATGATACGTAGAGGGTTAATGATTAACTAAGATTGATAGAATATATATATATATATATATATTAGATTTCTGTTAATTTTTTAATTTAATTTAAAATAAAAATAAAAATACTAATTTTCTTTCCAAATGATTCAATCACTCTACTGTTATTTGGAATAAAAAAATGGCAAACTGAATTATGGACTTAGCCACTTGGCTTGCCAATAAATACTTAAATGCTGACAAGACAAGCAATGAAGCAAATGTATTCATTCTTGCTCAATAATTAAAATAACTTTTCGATAACTATTAGAATATCGATAGTTTTCTTTTGTTATGATACATAGAGGGTTAATTATTAACTGAGATAGATAGAAAGTACATTCTAAAAAGAATGTAGCCCATGGCAAGAATTTTGTAACCAAATACAAAATATTTGTATTAATTAAAAAGTGCTTTTATAAATGCTATTCATTCTTGGTCATTAATTAAAAACCTCTGTATTACAAATCATGGGCATACTTTTTACTATACTCCCTCTTGGCTCTAATCAACAAACACGTAAGAAGTGACATCTCTCCTTTATCTTGACAACTAGTGAATGACCCATACTAAGTATGGGGAATCAGTAATGTTAAATTTATATTTATTAAAATTTTAAATAATTATTAAAATTTCAAAAAATAACTTTTTAATAATTATTAGAATATCGATAGTTTTCTTTTGTTATAATATGTAGAGGGTTAATGATTAACTGAGATTGATATATATATATATATATATATATATATATTAGATTTCTGTTTATTTTTTTTTAAATTTAATTTAAAATAAAAATAAAATACTAATTTTCTTTTCAAATGATTCAGTCACTACTGTTATTTGGAATAAAAAAAACGGCAAACTGAATTATGGACTTAGCCACTTGGCTGGCCAATAAATACTTAAATGCTGACAAGACAAGCAATGAAGCAAATGCGAAAATGGACAAGGATGGGTAAAAATAGGAAGAATGAGAAAATATTGCTATGAACTAAACACTTTTACTAAAAATGATTTCTTTTCAGATTGACAAAGTGTCTTATGTTGCTCATTTATAAATGTGATTTCATAAAAGTACATTCTAAAAAGAATGTAGCCCAATGGCATGGATTTTGTAACAAAATACTAGAATGAAACCCGAAGTAGTGAACTGAACATGGCAACTCTGGTGGGCCAGACATCCAATCCCTCGAGACAAGGTTATGCCTCCATTTCCAAAACCACTAAAGTGTTCTCTAAAATGATTTTCCCCTTCTTGTGAGTTTTAAAACCAAATCAAAACTATCTGGTTTGAAACCAGATTAATTTTTGAAACAAAAAATATCAAGCATGTTCTTGGTTGCATATATGATATGTGTTCTTTCCAAAACCGAAACCAAAAACTTCTTGAGTTTCAGGTACATGTTGCGTAAATCATATAACATCTGTATTACAAAATTTGTTTTGTTTTAAAAAACTATCATATTCATGGTTTCAAAATCATGAATTAATTTTTGAAAAATGAAACAGAACCAACTTGCTCTTGTTTTTCAAAAAAGGGAAAATTCTACTTTAGCACCCTGAACTTCGGGGGTATTGTCAAGTTAGTACCCGAACTTTCAAGCGTGTCACTGCAGTACTTAAACTTCCAAAAAGTGTCAAGTTGGTCCCTATCGTTAACCGACTGTCAGTTATCTATTGAAAATATCAAAACTACCCTTCAAAAGAAGGCACTGTTCATTATCTTCTACCTTGAGACTGAACCGGTTGAGGTGTTTGAGATTCTAGACTAATGAAGTCATTGTCTTCTACTTTTAGATCTGAAACACATTCTGTCTAGTTATTTCTTTGCTTTCAATTATTGTTTCCCTCTATCATATTTCATGTTTTTTCTTTAAAGATAACCAGTTCAGTCTCAAGGTAGAAGACAATGAACAATGTCTTATTTTGAAGGGCAGTTTTGACATTTTCAACATATAACTGACAGTCTATTAATGGCAGGGACCAACTTGACACTTTTTGAAAATTTAGGTACTGCAGTGACATGTTTGAAAGTTCAGGTAACAACTTGACACTACCCCCAAAGTTTAGGGTACTAAAGTGGAATTTTCCCTTTCAAAAAATAAAAAAGGAAAAATAACAAAAAACAGTTCAACAACGTGTTTTTGTTTTTTTGCTGATGTATGTAACAATTTCAGAAACAAATGAAAAAAAAAAATCATGTTGTAGAACACCACCTAAGTTAACCGTATCCTTAGAATGGTGCCTCGTCCCTATCTGTGATGATAGCACCTCCGACTACACCATCCCTCTCAGCCAATAAGAGAGACTCGGAACTCTTTTTTCTTTGAAAAAGGTGAAGTATTGCATTAAAAATAAAAATGAATCAAGATATACAATCAGCCCAGCCCCTGTACAATGAGAATCTGTACCTAGGGGAAACCCAGCAGACCCAAATAACAAACCCAACCAGCAAGAAATTACAAAAAGATTATAGTTCGGTTTATATGGAAACAAGTAGAAAACGAAATTGTGAGTATTGTCTATAATTGGCATCTAAAAAATTCCAATATAAAATATTTCAGCACTTCCCCATCAAAAAATTCCCATGTTAAGGAACATGATATCAACTAGAGTTCTGTTGCAAGGAGCTCCTACACAAGAACTCTTCACAGTAGAATATGGGTGAAAAAAACAGAGACCGAGGAAATGATGCAGTTCATCTGCATCAGGATTAAGCCATATGAAGTTCCATGATTAACCCAGGACCCACCCATGATTTTCAACCCTAATAAGACACATCCCTGCTTATTATTAGTGGAACCTAGAAACAGCAAGCCCCCAATTCAAGCATATCAGACGGTTGTGAGCTTCTCGCATGCCAATACCATTTCTGCAAGTGCTTGCAACACAGCTCTATCAACAAGACAACTATTTGTCTAAAATCAGATAAAGAAGGGAAATATATGCATTAATTGCCTTTACTAATGCCAAGTAGACGTTCATTTGGTATTAAGATGCCAAAAAATAAAAAACAATGCATACTAAATGGTACAAAGATCACCACCAACCTCCGTATTGAAGTTAATGATTGTAAATTGATAAGCAACCATTCAGTTTTGTAGCCCCCATCAGCAATTTGCCTGCAGCAAATTCATATAAATGTGAAGGAAGTTGAAATTTTAAAATGTTTTTCATTTCATGTTTAAATAAGTGACCAGGCGAGGCCGTGAGGGAAGTAGACCATGTTACAGATTAGTCATATAAAGTCCCTTTAAGTGAAAGAAAAGCATTATTAATTTATCCACCCCTTAATCCCCTTGTAATGTGTGTAACGTAATACCAAAAAAAAAATGTACAGAGAAAATAAAAGAAAACATTGGCAAAAGAAATTTTAATGAATAAGAAAAGAAAATAAACATTAGAAGCAGAGCGTTAGATACTTGCAGAGTTCTGTTGTTCTTTTACAGATATCCATGCACCTCCTAATAAATGAATAATAAGGCATAGTTAGCATGTGACATACCAAAAATTTGTCTGTGGATAGTTCTGGTTTTCTGCACGTACTTCTATACAACAAGCTCATCTTCAAGATAACTGTACTCGAAAGTGAATTCAGTCTTAATCCTCTGGCACCTGCATGTGAAAATACCAAGAAGTAATTTGAGTAAATTTGTCTTGTTTGGACATCTGACAGATCTTGTTCGCATTTTTTTTTTTATAATTGATCTTGTTCACATTTGATTACTATAAATATATCCTTATTAATTAAATGAAATAAGACCAGCATTTATAAGTGGAGAAAATTCTCCACATGCTCTAAAAACAATCCCCAAAAGTATAGAGCATATCACATGTTTGCCCCTATAGCAACGAATGTAAGGAGGAGGGGGGGGGGACATATATGCAAAAGGGGCAGATAAAGTAGCTACGTTATTCTGCTGAATTTGAGCCCATCAATTCTCAGTGTTTGAAACTTTGTTATCCGTTTTTCTAAGCAATACATCCTTTGTTCAATAATTCATAACAAGGGAGACATTGAGGAGGATGCCATTCAAAGAATTAGAGCAGGATGGGGAAAATGGAGGGGTGCATCTGGACTCTTGTGTGATAGGCGAATACCGCTTAGACTAAAAGGAAAATTAATAAGCTGCAAACTAGATAGGTTTCTAGTAACTCCAGATTGGGCAGAACACTTTCCTAATCTTCTCCAAGAAATCAGACCTCGCTGCACCTCAGATCACTGGCCATTAGTCCTGAGAACAGACCTGGTTCTGAAAGGTATCCCCATTCAGACTGGAAAAAGTGTGGATTTTGCATAAGGATTTTCACAAAAATGTGGCTTCTTGGTGGGAGGAATGTAGAGTCGAAGGCTTGGCTGGTTAGAGATTAATGCAAAAATTGAAATTCCTAAAAAGAAAACTGAAATACTGGGGGAGAGAAAAATTCAAATCTTTTGCAGAGGAAAAAAGTGGTATCCTTTTGGAGTTGGAAGAACTAGACAAAAAGGAGCAATTAGGAACTCTGGACTAGTGTCTTAAAAGGTGTGGGAGGTATACGCTTGGAGGCGCGCCTCTAGGTGAGGCGCTCCCAAAACGCCCTGAGGCGTACGCAAAGAGAAGGGAAAAAAAGGAAAAAGGAAAGAAAAGAAAAGGAAAGGGAAGGGAAGGGACGAAAAGATAAGGGGAAAGAAAGAAAGTGGTTTGCCCCCCAGATGCCCCTTCGACAACCCCCCCCCCCTTCAACTAATTCTATGCATCTTTATTCTTCTTAATATAAAAGTTTTTATTAAAAATAAAGAAAAAATGAGATCCCCCCCTTCCTCCTAACCCCCTCCTCTTAAGGAGGCTTACGCCTCTTGTGTTCTTAACTATGCCTCACACCTCTAGATAGTGGAACACCTCACGTCATGCCTCCGTGTTTAAAACATTGCTCTGGACAGAGAAGGAAGAAGTAGGATTGAAGGTCTAAGGAGTTATTGGGAAAAGGTGATTAGAAAAGAAGAAATCTATTGGAGGCAGAGGTCAAGGATTAGATTGTTAAAGGAAGGAGACAATAACTTAAAATTTTTCCACAGCTACGCGTCGAGAAGGCGTAGGAAAAACTTCATCTCAAAAATTAAGGTGGATCAAAGGGAGGTGGAAGATGCAGATGAAATCACAGAGAGCTTTCGTAATCACTTCAAAAAGTTGTACTCTATGGAGAGCATCAGAAAGTTTACTTTAAAAAGTTGGAATGGGCCAACTCTAGCAGAAGACAAGAGGTCTTGGCTTGAAAGGGATTTTGAGGAGCAAGAAATAAGGGAAGCAGTCTTTGATATGGATGGAGATAGATCCCCTGGGCCCAACGATTTCCCCATTTTCTTCTTTCAGATTTGTTGGGGCATTGTAAGAGATGATCTTCTGGAGGTTTTCAAGGATTTCCGCTCCTTGGCTGTTGTAAACAAAGGAAACAACTTTACCTTTATCTGCCTCATCCCAAAGAAAGATGGCATCTTGGAAGTGAAAGACTTCAGACTAACAAGTTTAGTAGGGAGTGTGTACAAAATTCTGGCAAAAATTTTAGCAAAAGGACTTGGAGAAGTCCTAAGAGAGCTTGTTTCTCCAAATCAGTTTGCCTTCGTGAAAGGAAGACAAATCGTGGACAGCATCTTAATAGCATATGAAATCGTCGAAGATAGAAGGAAGTGTGGAAGGTCGGGCCTCCTTGTGAAACTAGATCTTGAAAAAGCTTACGACAAAGTAGACTGGGACTGCCTTCTCCAAGTTCTGAAATTGAGGGGCTTTGGCATGACATGGCTGCAGTGGATGAAGGGCTGTATAAGTTCAACAATGGTTCTCAGTCATGGTAAATGGAGAGGCCAAAGGTTACTTCAAAGCAAGTAGAGGTCTCCGACAGGGCTGTCCTCTATCCCCTTTCCTTTTCACTCTGGTAATGGATGTTTTTAGCCAACTGGTGGAAAAAGCCAAAAGCCTAAATTTAATTAAAGGCATTCAGGTAGGAAGAGATACTCTTAATGTCTCCCACTTACTGATCTCTTGCTCCTTTGCTACAGCTTTATGGAATTGGAGTTTTATGTTGTTTGAGTGTAGGTGGAACCTGCCATCTGATACTAGCTTGCAGTTTAGTCCGTCTATCTTTGAATGGCACACAAAGAGAGGGAGAATTATGTGGAGGTGCACAAGTTAAGAGCAGTTTTGTTGTGGACAGTTTGGGAAGAAACGAACACCAGAATCTTTTGTGAAAAAGAAAGAACTTCTCAGAAATTAAAGAATGTATTCTGACAAGGGCAATTCAGTGGCTGAAAACTTTAAAGCTCTTTGATGCATACTCTTTTGATGACCTATGGAGAAGCTGGTTAGCAGTGGCTAATACTTCTACCAGGAAGGACAGACATGGGGTTGAATGGATGCCACTAGGGGAGGAGTTTATCAAGCTGAACTTTGATGGAAGTAGCCAAGGAAATCCAGGACCTTCAGGCATAGGAGGTGTGCTGAGAAACAAAGAATCCAGCATGCAAACCAGCTAGGCATAGAGCATCTGATTATTGAAGGGGATTCCTAGGTGATAGTGGATTGGCTGAAGGATCCAGACATTGTGATTTGGGGTTTTAGAGATCTTCTCAAAAAGGTTAAATGGTTAACAAGGAATATGACAATCAGAGTTCAGTGGGTAGGCAGATCAGCAAACTCAATGGCTGATTCACTTGCAAAACAAGGGGTTCTTCGGGCTACTTTATTTTGGGCTTCTGTGTAATTCATTTTGTACTTATAATTTTGTAACTAGTTTTAAAGGAAAGGTCGCATCTCGTGCCTTTCCATGGGTTGCATGTAACTCTTATTTGCTGGTTTAATAAAATCTTACTCATTTATCAAAAAAAAAAGTCTCCCATCTCCAGTTTGTAGATGATGTCATCCTTTTTCTGGAAGCTAACATGGAGAATATTAATAATGTGAAAAGGGTGCTGCGTTGTTTTGAATTAGTCACTGGCTTGAGGGTAAATTACTCAAAAAGTAGCCTAGTGACTATAAACCAAATTGAAGAAACCCTCTTGGAAAGCTTCAAGGAAACTCTGAATTGCCAAGTGGAAAACTTCCCCGTCTTTGGGCCTGCCTCTTGGTGGGAATCCAAAAAGTCCAAGCTTCTGGGAGCCAGTGGTGGAAAAATGTGAAAAGAAGTTGGCCACTTAGAAATGTTGTTACCTATCAAAAGGGGGCAGACTTAACCTCATCAAGGCTTCCCTTGCAAATCTGCCCGCTTACTTCCTCTCAGTGTTTCGGATCCCTGCCAAGGTCAGGTCACTGATTGAGAAACTTCAAAGAGATTTTCTTTGGGAAGGTGGGGGTGAAAAAAAAAAGACATCTAGTAAAGTGGAGTCAAGTCTGCACACCTAAAGAGGCTGGAGAGTTGGGGATTGGACACCTAAAAGAGAAGAACAATGCTCTACTTGGGAAACGGATGTGGAGATTCCCCATTGAAACGAATTCCCTTTGGGTAGATGTCATCACCAACAAGTATGGGTAAAACGCAAATGGTTGGGACTGCAATCTCCGCTCAAACCGATTAGCTTCCTCAAATCCCTGGAAAGGTATCACTTCTATTCACAACATCTTTTTTTCTTTCATATGATTTAGAGTGGGTAATGATACCAGAATAAAGTTTTGGACAGACCTGTGGTGGGGCAATTCCACTCTAGCGGAACCTTATCCTAGAATTTTCAACCTCACCCTAAACAAAGAAGCAACCATCTCGCAGTGTCTCCCCACTTCTCCCACTGAGAACAAAAACTTGAGCCTTAGAAGACCCTTAAGAGAAGCCTACATTTCCCCAATCTCCCAAGATTCCCATGTCTGGAAAGCCCATCATGTTGGTGAGTTCTCTTCCAAGTCTTTCCTTGAGGCTCTGGTTGTAGGAGACCGGGACTGTGTCTTCCCTTTCAAGAAGATCTGGTGTAAGTTTGTTCCCTCAAGAGTGTGTTTTTTCATTTGGGAAGCCTGTCTAAATTGAGTAAACACCTGTGAATTACTGCAGAAGAAAAATCTTGGATGGCTTTATATCTCTCCTCACGTCTACATTTCCCCAATCTCCCAGCTGATCACCTTTTCATACACTGCCAGGTAACCAGCAAAATCTGGAGCTACTTCTTACAGCTAGTTGGGTACAGCTGGGTGGGTCCTAATCATCTTCAGGACCTGATTTCCCAGCGGCAATGAAAAGGTCTGAGCAAGAGAGGTAAGGTATACTGGCAAATAGTGTTACATGCTGTGCTATGGGGAATTTGGGAAGAAAGGAACAATCAGTTGTTTGAAAACAAGGTAAAATTCATGAATGAGCTGATCCATCATATCAATTATCACTGCAATTTGTGGGCTTCTAGCTGAGAAGTGTTCACAGGAATCAATGTTAATGACCTTAACAGGATTGTTGTCAACTTTCTGTTCTCCTCCCCTTCTATCCCAGTTACACCCAAGGTTCCATCAATAAGAAGGGAAGAAGCTTGGACTCTAAGCTTTGACAGTAGTGCATCAGGTAGCCCTGGAGTTGCTGGCACAGGGGGAACTTTAAAATACGAAAATGGGTTCATCTGCTGGGTGTACAGTGGACTGATTGGGCATTCAGAACTTCTCCATTGAAGGCGACTCAGCAGAGGCAAGGGGCCTATTGGCTTCTAAGAACACATTTCTGAACTGGATTCCAAGGGATTTAAACGCCATTGCAGATGGATTAGAAAAACTAGGTGCCATTACATTGTATTGTGACAAATTCCCTCCTGTATAATTTTTAGGGGCCTGACCCCTGTTTTGTACTCGTACACCTTCTTGTGTACCCCCTTTTTCTTTTAATGAAATCTGTTAACTTCAAAAAAAAAAGGAAAATTCTATAAAACAGTTTAAGGCCAGCATTCAGAGAATGTGAATGCAAATATGGATGAGCGGAAAAACTAGAAAGGATAGGATCAGGAACTAGTCATCCATAGGAGCCTAGGAGTAGCCCCAATAGGTGATAAAATGAGAGAAAGTAGATTAAGATGGTTTGGTCACATGCATATAAGACCGTCAACGGCACCAGTTAGAAGAAGTGATTTGTTACAACTTACAAGTTGAAGGGACTAGAAGGGCTAGGGGTAGACCAAAAAGGACATGGGTAGTAGTAATAAGAAATGATTTAAGCACTAACAATTTAACAGTGGATATGACTTTAAATAGAACAGATTGGCGAAACAGGATTCATGTAGCTGACCCCATATGGTTGGGATAAGCCATGGATGATGATGATGAAGCAATACATCCTTTACATGGCCAACACTCAAAACCTCTAATCTACACTATTGTCCTTTTCTCTTCCAAGATTATACAGCACAAAGGGTCTTACAATATCTTCATCTCATTAAGACCAAAATCCAGCATTCTTTTATCAATGCACTTTGTTACAAGAACCGACTCTTATACGTCTTTGATCATTATTTTAGAATTTTCACAAACATCTTAATGGCAATTCCTACCAGGCCAATTGGACAGGAAGACCAAGGACACAAAATTGCATATTTGTTAGGGATGGTGCCACAGAAAACATATGAATGTTCTTAATGAAAGTCTTTTTCTCAGGGAAAAGCAATCCTCCAAATCTAATGCCCTGATAATATCAAATTTCACTGTCCCAGCTATATCTTCTAAGAAGTCCATCTAGTCCCCTCATCCGACTACCTACCTGAGTGTAAACCAGGATACTTCCCAAGCCAATCAACCTTAAACATCACAATAAATTCCAAGTTGATACCCTCCACAGTAAGCGCCTAGCATTTTTAGTGGAGTGCATATTTCCAAGAGTAGTATGATAGCTCTCACTTTAGTTCATCTCCATTGTGTTTTTGTCCCTTTTGACACTGCTCTCCTTCAAATGCCTTATGAGCAAAAAACAATATAACCAAACTAGTGTTGCATGGACATGGACATGGGAGTCAGAAACTGAAGTGAACATTACCAAGTTTGAAGCAAATAATAGCATTCATCTTGTACATTATCCATTAATTTATATCAAATGGAAGATAAAAGTTAAACATTACGTAAAAGTGTCCTAAAACCTATGGAATGTTGGATTTCAAGACATGTCATACACAGACAGACTGTCCATTTAGAAGAGTCCATCCAATACCGGAGCCAACTCAGTGCATAAAAGTTTCAATTTAATTTATCATTACAAAATATATTTCCATTTGGAGGAGACAAAAAAAAACATACCACCCATGTTGTGAATCATCATTGGCAATATGGAAATCAAAGTATACATAAGTCCCTTGTTCACATTCATCAGTGGTGACTCTTGGTTCCTCGTGCCGCTGAAACCATGTGTTGTATTTCCTGTGGTATCTCCAGGATTGCTTTTTCAACTCTCTTGCGGCCAAGTATTGCTGATAAGTATTCTGTAATTGTATTTAACTTAACAAGAAGCCTAAATGAAGGCAATCAAATGAAGAAAAAAAGACTCAAGGCAAGAAAAGCAAAAGTTGGTACCTGTTGAAAGTAAAATGCAAAGAACAAAGTATCAGTGCCCATAGTATCAACACCCAATCGCTCCCAAAAGGCAGGATTGTCAACAATGGGTGCCTGCATTTGAGGGTAGCTTGGAGGTGTCACTGCAGGATGTCTCTGTAAACAGAAAATTCGTGTCAATGGATTAACATGATCAAATGATCTACCGGTAAAATTTGAAATAAAACCTATTGCTGAAAATAAGATGAAGTGTAGAGCAGAGGATTCCATACAGGAATGTAGCTTTTTGCACGTTCTGAGTCTTTTGGTTGAGGAAGTTTGTAATATGCAGCCTCAAGCATCTGCAGATTGTATACTTGATCATGCATTCCCGTGGAATTTGTAGTGGATCCACTGAGATTATCGCCAATTGCACCAAGGTCAGAAGCACTTCTCCGACCAATGACCCCCAAACCAAGTGAAGGTTGATTGGATTGTAATGGTTGCCCAGGAGAGAGATCAGTATCTCTTGGCACCTGGGCAGGTTCCATTAGTGAGCCAGATCCTCCAACCTGTGAAACACATGTAAAATTCATTGAGCTTAGGGTATTAAAACTTTCTACATATAACTGATTAAATGTCATAGAGAAAGAGCAAGAAAGTCGACTATGTCACCCTTACAATAAAATCTCTTCTAATCTGAAAAGGGTCATTACCTAATGTTGGGGCCAGTTATCTGGGGCCTAGGGAAGGTTGGACTGAATACAGACCTAACTTTTGGCATTTTTTCATTTTTTGTACAAAGTAGCCCCTATGAGACTTGAATCCACATTCTCATCCTTGTTAGCCCGAGATTTTAAAACTGGAGAGCAATGGGAAATGAGATCTTTGAACTGTTATCAATAAAAAGAAACGTCTCATAGCTGTGTACTTTGGAACCACAATCATGGAAACTTTAAGGGCTGAATAAATGGTGATGGTTCCAGGACTGCATATAGCAAAATCATTGAATGTTAGCTTCTTGTTGGTGGAAAGAGATTGAAGAGTTATAATGGGTTTGTTAAAAGTCTGGAGGCAGAAGAGGTTTCACAAGTTCCATACAGTCTGGATCCTTTTTTTTTTTGCATGAGAATTTTACAAACTGAGGCTGGTAATTGAAGGGGAAGACCCGACTGTTGGGACTCACAAATTGGGATTTGGGATTTGATGAAGACTTGGGGTGGTCATCGGAGATGGAAGATCTTCAGTGTTCGCTCGCTACTGAAGCTCCAAAAACCCCATATTTGCTAATGTTGCTCATTCATTCATCCTAATGAAAGATACTTTTAAAAGACACTTAAAGTTATAAAATCTTTTTTTTTATAGGAATTAAGAATTTAAGACCATGATATGGACTAGTTTGGGCTTGCCTCAAGGGGTTGGTACAAAGGCAGCTAGTAGAATCAAGAATGAATAATGTTTAATATCACATTAGCTATTTGAAGTAATGCAATTGGGGAAAAAATAAAGAGAATAAGAGTTTACATGCTTGAATACGTTTTATATGTTATGCTTGATTTTATTTTTAAATTTTCATTTTAAATATGTTTGACATGTTATGTTTATGTAATTTAATTTGAGATAATAGGTTTTTTAAACATCTATTTTAAAAGTTAAGTTTATTTTTTAATTAATATTGTGTTTAATATTTTTAATACTTTGCTTTTTTTTTAATTTTTTCACACTTTTTGGCTTCTTTTTAATTTTTTACATTCTTTTTCATTTTTTCACCTTGCTTCAAAAAGGTGCGTGCCTCCGGTGCAAAATGGCCCTTGCACTTTTAAAACACTAGCTTCAAGTTAGTTGGGTAGTGTGTCTCTTGTGTGTGTGTGTATGTAACTAGTAGTTTAAGTTTGTAACACTTGCTTTGAAAGAGGATTTTGCCCCTTCAAAGAGGCAAACCTAAGGAAGTCCAACCCCCTCAAAGTGATCTCTCTTCTTAAAATTTCATTTTCTTTTTCAGTTGGATTAGTAAGGCAAGTAACAAAATGTTTTAAAATGTGGAGGCATGATGTGACGCATTCCACATCCTAAGGCAACATAAACCAGAATAGAAGAGGCATCCTGAGCATACATGGGAAGTTTCATAGGCACAATAATCTAGTTTCTGGGACACTACAAACTTAAATACCTACATACATGTATGTATTACAAAACAGAATATGTATTATATAGAAGACACTAGAGAGGGATCTGGTATCAAGGGGGGAAATATGAAGAGAAGAGAGTGACTACAAAGAGAGGAGGGATGAGGCCAGATAAATTCACACTGCCAGAGATATTCATGTCTTTAGCCAGATAAAAGCTTAACACTTTTGGCAGTTTCACAAATACCTGTCATTGCTTCTTTCCTGGTTATCCAGGATACAGGCATTAGGGATGAATGACACAACTATAGGCTTTAAAAATGTAATCTATAAAGTTTTCAATATAGCACTTCCATTGATGACCCAAGTTCAAAAAAGACTCTTTAGACCAAACCTAAACTCTCAGGTATGCAAAAAGATACTGGGAGAACCAATCAGGCCCCAAAGATAAAATATATGGTTGATTAACTTCACATTCACATTTTCTGTGTCCAAACTGAATGCATGCAAATATAAGAAGTCTTCACAAATGTGTGATTTTTTTAAACCAAAAACAACAACAAATAAAGGGAAAATATTCAGAAAAAACCAAGAAAAAGGAAAAGAGAAAAATAAAAATTGAACATGTTTTCAGGATATGAAAAAATCTATAAAAATAAGCATACAGGTGCATCTACTGAGTATGGACTCTTCAGATCATCCTCATTCATGAGATTTTTGCTGAGCCCAACACTTGTGGTAGGTTCAACACTTGAGTCATCAGATGGATTTTGTTGTTGCTGTTGGTCATCAACTTTTGTATGACTAGTGTCTGCATCATCACATGTAATAGCCACATAAAATAATTTTTTATCTTTGCCATAAAGCATAAGTCTGCATTATTAGTGAAGTTATATGGAAGTACCTGACTCTTTGGGTCCAGGTGAGCTCAAAGCACGCTGAGCAGCCTGTGGATGAATAAAATTTGGCTGTTGTAAAGAAGCTGATGTAACAGAATTTAGACCTGCTCCCTGAACCCCAAGACCCAGTCCAACTTGAGGTGACAATGATGAGTTTTGTGAATTAAACTGCATAGACCATCAATTTTCAGATCAGGAAAAGTAAATAATATAAAAATCAAATGGAACATGAAAAATAATTACTTGACTTTGAGAATGTACCATTTAGGCTTCATTAGTATTTAGTAATGAGTGAGCTGGCTAAACATAAGCCCAATAAAATCAACCTGAGCTAATTTTCCTTTGTATTATCTATGTGTTTGAGATGCCTCAAGTGGTTGTTAGGAGTGTTTTTTTTTTTTTTTTTTCAAAACGAATGCAATTTAAAATTGCCTTCAGGGAGATTCCTGAAGGCTGTTTGAGATGCCTCAATTTAAATTCTTTTTTGATAAATGGTTGTTAGGAGATTTCTTGGGCAAAACAAATTATTTCAGCTCCTTGGAAATATAAATTTGCCTTCAGGGAAATTGACTACCTTGCAAAAAGTTGTAACACTAGCTTTGGATGGGTAAATAGAACAGCAAATGGGCTGGCAGATGTTCTCGCAAAACAGGGAGTGGACATATCCACTCTATATTGGGCCCCCCTTTTTTATCAAAAAAAGGGGGGGCATGGCAATTAGGGTGGCCAATCTGGTTTCTGCTGTATTTGGGCTACTTTGTAGCATAGATCTGTAAATTTTTTTCAAGCATTAATAAAAAAATAAATGAGTGCAATTTTATTTTTTGATAAATTAATAATGATTTTATTAATAATAAGAAAGGACTTGTGCATTCACCCTAAGAGGAGGCACAAGATGTTACCTCTCCTTGAGGTGAGAGCATAAACAAATTCTTAACAGAATACAATCATAGAGTAGCAGAAAATAATTCAACCCTTGAGACCCCTTTGGTGGCAGTAGTCTAGGCAACCCAGGCCCTTTGGGTATAGGAGGGATCTTAAGAGATAAGGATAGAAACATCCTATCTCTTTATTCAGGACCAGTGGGAGTTAGTGATTCAACAAAGGCTGAGATACTGGCTGTGGTGCAAGGCATACAGGTTGCAAATCAACTAGGTGTGAAAAATCTGATAGTTGAGGGAGATTCTAAGGTGGTAGTGGGTTGGTTGTCGAGTACAGAAACAGTTCTATGGGGCTACAGGGGTCTACTTAAGAAAGTTAATTGGCTTACAAGGAATATGTCAGTCACCTATTAGTGGGTCAGCAGATCAGTAAATGCCATGGCTGATTCTTTGGCAAAACAATGAATGCAATTTTATTAATCAAAGAAAGAGTGTACAATCAGCCTAAGAAGAGGCACAGGATGTTACCTCCCCTTGGAGATGAGCAATAAGCAAATAAACACACACTAGTCAGAATTACAATTATAAGGTAGCCCAAAACAGGTCACCCCTTGTTTAGCCAAAGAATCAGCCAATACATTTGCCGATCTGCTAACCCACTGAAACCTATCTGCCATGTTTCTTGTCAACCAGTTAACTTTCTTCAAAAGACCCTTGTAACCCCAAAAGACTGTTTCTGGATTTGTCAACCAGCCCACTACCACCTTGGAGTCCCCCTCAATTATCAAGTTTTTTACTCCAAATCGACTAGCAACATCTATGCCTCGTACTGCTGCTAGTATCTCAGCCCTTAAAGAATTGCCAACATCCAATGGTCTTGAGAATAAAGATAGGATGTTGCTGTCTTTATCTCTCAGAATTCCTCCTATGCCGGAGGCCCTGGATTACCTTGATTGCTTCCATCAAAATTCAATTTTACCATTCCTTCCTGAGGGGGTTTCGATTCTCTGTTCTTTGCGGATGCTGTGGATGCCACTGCTGCCCAATTTCTCCTTAAATCATCAAAAGAGTAATCCACAAATAAGTCTGAAGTTTTCAGCCCAGAGGTTGTCCTTGTCATTATACACTCCTTTACTTCAGCAAAGCTTCTTTCCATTTCTTGAAAAATTTTAGCATTCCTCTCATCCCATAAAGTCCACATGCTAGCTGCTCTGATACACTTCACATTAGCTTCCCTCTCTTTGTCAATCTCCCAAAGCCAGACAGAACAAAAAGCAGATTTACTTCAGAGGGCAAGATCCACCTGCGCCCAAATAATAATAAAACCCAGTTCCAAATATTGGCAGCAAAAGAGCAAGATATCAGCAAATGGTGACAATCCTCACTCTTCACTTTACACATAATGCACCAATTTGGGGACAAGCACATATAAGATTTCTTCTTTTGCAAGTTTTCCATAGTACTGATCTTACCATAAAAGGCTTCCCAACAGAACACAACTATTTTAGGAGGGATTGGCCTTGACCAGATTTCTTTAACAGGGAAGACCGGAGAGGAGAGGATAGAACAGAGGGAATTAAAGAAAGATGCACAAGTGAAGGAGCCATCCAGGGTCAGAGACCAAATCCTTTTATCAAGTCTAGGGGGTCCAAACACACAAAGTCTAAGAGTAGCAAGAGATTTGAAACACAAGAAGATTCATCATCCCTTAAAACTCTTCGGAACCCAAAATCACAGTTTAAAGCCATAGGGAGAACCGGGGGGAGAGGAACCTTGAGATAGGTTTCTTTTTAAAGAGGGAGATAGAAAAGAGGGAAGGGAAACAGTCTTTTAGGGGTTGAGTGCCCACCCAAATATAGAACTGAATTTCCAAAGCTTACATCACACCTTACAAACATAAGGAATTTGGGGAGAATGCCAAAAATTGGCTTCCAGAGTGTTGTGAGCAAAGCCCTTCGGGATACCCCAACGTCCCAACTAGATTCAAAACAGCCAAGGGCCACCTCCAAAGCCATTTACTTAGAAGAGCTTCGTTCTTACTCACTATGTTCCCTAACCCTAAACTCCCTTCTTTTTTGCTTCGACTCACCACTTCCCACCTAATGAAGTGATCTTTTTTCTCTCCCCTAGGCTCCCAACTATATCATCATTATCATCAAAACTTTATCCCAACTACCTGGGGTCAAGTACATGGATCTTGTTTCATCTTTCCATTATGTTTATTGCCATATTAGTTGTTTCTTTATAAGCATATCCTTGTTAAATTCGTCATTATCATCAGAACCTTATCCCAACTACCTGGGGTCAAGTACATGGATCTTGTTTCATCTTTCCATTATGTTTATTGCCATATTCATTGTTTCTTTATAAGCATATCCTTGTTAAATTAGTAGTGTTTAAATCATTTCTTACTACTTCAATCGAAGTCATCAAACCATCTTAGTTTACTTTCTCTCATTTCATCACCTATTAGAGTTTCTCCTAGGTTCCTTCAAATGATTTCATTTTTTACCATATCCTTCTAGTTTTTCCACTAATCCATTTCAGCATTCAAATTCCTTTTTGAGTTTATTGGAGGCTTTGTTATTTCTTCTCTTGGGTGATTTCTAGTCACTTCTCTAAGTTTCTTTTTCCTTCTATAAAGTTTGTTTTTTTTTATTTAAGCTTCAAAAAACAAAATCTCAGCATATGCATCAGGTTGGCTGCCAGTACTAAAACTTTGCCAAACTGTCATGATCATGGATCATCATTTGTCTTTCCACCTAACTATATCCCATACCTAAATGTATTCCTAAATTTGTTTTTGTTCCCAGAATATGTCATAGGCCCATACCTTATATACCTTGGGAAAAAAGAGGAAGCAAACCAGAGATGGCTTCCCAAGAAGAGGCAAATGTTGCCCTTGCAGCCAAACCAACATCCCACCCATTAGCATGTAAGCTGTGAATGCTAAGGGTGGGATACATAGAGAATCTCCACAACTTGTCCAGATACACAGAGAATCTCCACAACCATTTGCCTAAAGTGCTAGATTCCTCATTGAAGATTGCCCAAACCCAGGCATCTTTGGTCATTTGCATTAACACACAACTTCCCACTTGACAATATAATCCCTTTTAGAATCTCTCTGCTCCCAAAAGAAGCCTCTCATAAGAAATTTCCTTGTCTAAGTTATTAAAATCTTCATCAAATAAAGAAACCTAACTAATGAGATATAACAAAGAAAAAGAAAACAAAAAGAAAATGGAAACCATTTCTCAGAGATGGTTAAAAAATCAATCATATAAAAAGAATATATTCTTTATCTTATATCACTGATAAAAGAAAAGAAAAAGAAAACAAAAAAAGGAGAAAACACCTGCACCAGTTTCAAAGATGCAAAAGGCGGGAGAAAGTTTTGCACTTAAGTAACCTGCTGTAATAGTGAGCCTTGCTGTTGTGTAGTGAACTGCTTATGATTTCCCCCAGCGAGTTGAGAATGCTGCTGCTGCTGCTGTTGCACTTGGTGGAATTTCTGCAAAAATTTCTCTCTCTGATCGGGTTGAACACGAAATTGACCCTGAGAAAAGAAAAAAAAAACAGATAAATCATTTTCAAACAACAGATTTATCACACAAATCTTGCATCCTATCATTAAAAGAGGCATGCCTTCTGTAAAATGTCAAATCATCAGCATCGTTATATTTTTTTTGGGTAATATCATGTCAGCATATGACTTATCAAAAAATATCATGTAAGCAAATAATTTCTAATAAGCAGAATAGCAATGATTGCTCATATTTTAACAACTCAGCAGCACAATATAAAAGATTCAATAGAAGCATTCAGTTTAAAATTTTCAGTCTTCTACTCTAGTATGCTTCTCAATAAACACTATTTAACTTTTCCTTCAAACTTGCCAATGACTAAGTTGCCCTTCTACTCTAGCAAGCAATGCAGAAGAAGACTGTTCATTTCTCTCTTTTAATAACAGATAACTTTATGAACAGAGTATAAATATAGTTATAATGTCATATAGATAAAAGGGTCAAGGTTCCCAAGGACAAAGGAGATGCTATGCAAACCAAATGAAGATGGAAACCTTGAAAATTCAATACGTTAATACACACACATATAATGGCAAAGAGAAGTCCTACTAAGATTTGACTAAATTAGGAAGAAATATGATTAAAATATAAAATTTAAGCTATGAGATATCACTAATAGAGTGCAGGAAAAATTGCCAGAGCAAATACAAGTGATAGTTCCCCATTTTATAATTGATAGAGAGTGCACTAAGGTTTGGCAAATCCATTTTTTGATTTATTATGAAACAGAAAAAAAAAACTGCAGCTTTATTTGGAGCTTTCAGAGGAAGATGCATTGCAAAATTAAGCAACAGCATAAAAATGAGATAATAAAGTAGAATACCGCTTCATTCTGAGTCTGAAATGATGTTCCAGGCCTCCATTGTACACCTGGAACCACAGAAGGGGAGAAAACTCTGCCACCTACAACTGCACCCTCACCAGAATTGTTAGAATCAGCAGAACCAGTTCCATCATTCCCCTTAGATACCTGGGGTAAGAGAATTCTATTGCTTAGTGGGGAAACCAATGGTTGCATGATGCCACTATCAGCCCCTAAAATATTTTTCTTTGCCATGTCAGAAGCAGTAGGGACTGCACCAAGCGCTCCATTGCCAGGAAGTGAACTTCCAGAACTTAAAGGTACATTGTTTGATGGTTGGCTGGGTACACCTCCAGCCATTGAACCTCTACCAATTCCTCTTCCTACACCAATTTCAGTAAGAGCTGGTGATGGTCTTCGACCAGGGAAGCTTGAGTTCTCTTCTTCCTTAGTGGAATTAGACAAGTTTACTGGGGATGGAGAAACAGTCGCAACAGAGTTATCCACCACACCTCGAATAGATGCTGGAGCTGAAAGGATTGCTGAAGTAGTTGACCCACCAGCCAAATTACGTGTCGGCAAATTGCCAGTAACAGTAGCTACATGACTCCCTGCTGGTGTTGATGAAGTTGAAGAACCCACTGTACTATTTTTTGAAGGTGGGGTTCGTGGAGCAATATCGGAACTACTGTCCTGGGAAGCAGACTCTTCAGCTTGATCCTGAATGGAATTACCTTGCTGAACAGTAGACGCTAATGTGGCCTGAAAAGGAAAACAACAAACATTACCAAAAAATTACAGAAGGGAGAATATATTGGGACTTGTAAAGGAGGGTAAGATAACCAACAGTAGATTTTAAACCTACAAAAAGGGCACATTAGGGGCTATTGTTGTTATACTTTTGTGATCTTTGAAGTTTGAATCAATTGATTAGTCCTGTTATGGTGTGAACACAGGTTCTGCTGGTCTTACTACCTGGAGGGCTGGCTGGATAGTTGTTTGTTTATCACCTTATTTTAATAAATTCTAAGAGAACATGACAGTTTCTCAAACCTAACTTTCGCTAGCAATATGCACATTCGCATCCCAGGGACATGCAATTGTTTTTATTATTATTTTTTTGAAACATCCTGTTGGTGATTTTATTCAAAAAAAAAAAGAAAAGAAAAAACATCCTGTTGATGATACTTCTACTTAACCAAAACTTTGAAATCTCACTTGTGTTTTCAATTATTTATAATTTTTTTATCAGTAAAAGCATTTTATTAATTTACATAGACATAATTTACAGATTTACAAAATAATCATGTTGAACTAGGCTAGCTTATGCTATCTTTTCTATCAGCAAAGAAGAATTAGTTTTATTAAATTAAGAGAAAGTTGTATACAGATTACAACCAGCAGAAAAGCACAGTCGGTGCAACATAATGATTTACAACACTGCCCAGAAAAGTTGCTGTCTGTAAACTCCTTGTTTTGCTAATGAGTCAACCATCCCATTTGCAGTCCTGATCCAAGTGAAAGAGGCATTGAGATCCCTTGCTAAGCTTTCAATCTCTTGCAGGGAATGTCTATAAATCCGGGGAGCATTACCTCTGGAGTTAGACCAAGAGATCACCAGTTTTGAGTCCCCTTCAACCTCCAGGTTTTTAAAATCTGCTTGTTTGACTAGTTTTAACTCCTGAAGAAGTGCTACTAGCTCAGCTTTTATTGAATCTCCAACCCCTATAGGCCTTGAAAACATAGCCAGCACTTTGTTTGTTGAGTCTCTGAACCACAACCCCAATGCCTACCAATCCCAGGTTCCCTATGGAGCTGCCATCAAAATTCAGTTTTAATTTGTTTGGAGCTGGGGCTTTCCATTTCATCCCCATTTCTTCTTTCTTCTTAGAGGAAAAAGCCACTTCTCTCCAAGCCTGCATTATATCAGCCATTGAGAAGCTCTGGAAATAGCTCAAGTTTTTTTACCCAATGAGCAACTTTTATCATTATGGTTTCCACCAATTCTTCTTTTGATCCTCCCAAATCATCCACACAGCCACCCTAACTGATTTCCACATTGTCCTTCCCCTTTTTCAGCTTAAAGTTTGGGTTGAAAAGGCTCACTACATCCTGAGGAGAGTTCCACCTGCAACCAAAAAAAGAGCAAGAAAAATCCCAAACAAAGAGTACACAAGGACAATGGATCAATAAGTGAGGGAGGGATTCACCATTTGCATAACAAAGATAGCACACATGAGGGGAGAGGCATATATGTGGCCTCCTCCCAACCAATGTTTTAAAACACAGAGGCATTCCACTACCTAGAGGCTTGAAGCGTGGTTCAGAACAAAGGGGGCGTAAGCCTCCCAAACACAAGGAGGTGTAAGCCTCCTTAAGAGGAGGTGGTCAGGAAGAAGGGGGAGGAGGAAGAAGAGGGAGGGGGGGATCTCTTTTTAAAAAAATCTTTTATTTAAGAAGTATAAAGATGCATAGCACTAGTTCAGAGGTGTCAGCGCCTCTGGCATACACTTGCCTGAAGGCGGGCCTCCAGGCGTAGGCCTCCCACGCCTTTTAAAACACTGCTCCCAACATAGAGCTTGAATTTTGGGTGGAATGGGCTTACTCCAAATTTCTTTTATGAAGAAATCCTCTCCCCCCCCCGCTAGATGTTTGCACAAGGGAGTTGAAAAAAGAAGCACAAGAAAAGGAACCATCAGAAGAGGTGGACCAAACTCTAGTGTCCTCCAAAAATTGAACCAAAAAAAACTGATTTGAGATTGTCAAACAACCATAAAAGGCTCTTACATTCATTATCCCTCAAACCTCTCCTGAAACCAAAGTCCCAACTTACACTGGATTGATAGAAGGTGACGAAACTTGAAACGGGTCACTGCTTATAATTAGAAACCAAGTAAAGATCAAGGTAAAGGGAATAGAAAGGAGTATCACCAAGCCAAAGATCTTCCCAAAAAAGAAACCTAGAACCACAACCCACATCAAGTCCAATGAAATTGAAAAGAGTTGGATATACCTCTTGAATTGCTTTCCAAGGAGAGTTCAAGGTTGATGTTGGAGCTACCTTTGCATCCCAACCGTTATTCATCAGTCCATGAATGCTTTCAATAACCTTGTGCCAAAACCTATCTCTTTCCAATGGAAACCTCCAAAGTCATTTTCCTAGCAACGAAGTACTTCTTTGAATTAAATTCCCCAGCCCTATCATGTAGATTTGTTCGTACTTTACAAGATGGTCTCTCTTTTCATCCCTAGGCTCCCAAAGAAAGTCCCTCTTTTCGTCCCCAGGCTCCCAGGTTGCTCTTATCAAGGTTATCCTTCCACCAATGGGTAAGTAGTTCCTCTTCCACATAGCCAACTTCTTTGTGAATCTCTCACCACTAGTTTCCAAAAAGCCTCTGATCTTGGGTTCCCTCCCAAGGGTAGTCCTAAGTATTCTAAAGGCCATTGCTTGATCTCACACCCTAAAGTCTCGACTATTACTCTCAAGTTTTCATCTTCCAAATTTATTCCTACTACGCAACTCTTTCCCCAATTAATCTTCAAAGTGGAGACTGATTCAAAGGAATTGATGACTTCTCGCTGATTTGATATAGAAACTTGGTTGCCTCCCAAACAAAATAAGATGATATCATCTGCGAACCACAAATGTGTGACTGCAACCTCCAATCTTCCAACCCTCCATCCTCTAAACAGATTATTTTGATCAGCCTCCAAGATCATCCTACTTAGGACATCCGCAATTAAGGTGAATAGGAGGGGATATAGGGGATTCCCTTGTCTCAACTCTCAACCCCCTTTTTGCTGGAAAGTAATCTCTAGTCATACCATTAATCAGAATTGAATATTGTACATAACCTAAGCATCCCTTCATCCATATCCTCCACCTCTCCCCCAACCCAATTTTCTCCATGATTTGCAGAAGGAAAGACCAGTCCACAAAGTCATAGGCCTTCTCTATGTCAAGCTTGCACACCAAACCACCCCTCCCTCTCCTCCTCTTTTCTGCTACATATTCATTGGCCAACAAAATCTGATCTACAATCTGTCTCCCTTCAGCAAAGGCTCCTTGATGTTGTGAGGTTACCAAGGGCAGTACCTTCTTTAGTTTCCCTGCTAGAATTTTTGCTTTGATTTTATAGAGATTTCCCACTAAGCTTCAGGTAAATACTCTTAAAATGGTCAACAAAACTCTTGACGCCTCTTCCCTGGTTGTCTCTAGACCATCCACTTCCAGCCTATCAATGAGGTTTTTCCTCTTCTTCCACTGGCTAAGGAATTAAAAAGTTTCGTATTGCCATCCCCTTCTAGAAGCCATTTGCATCTAGACTTTTGCCTCCAGGAGATCTCTTCCTTTCTAAGAACCTCTTTAAACCACATTTAGCCTCCATTTTTCCTCTCTCTTCTCCACTCAACATTCTAAGAGCTTCTTTCTTATCTAACTCCTCAATTCTTGAGAGAATTCTTTTTTTCTTTTGTCTCCTCCACCTTCCCAAAGAGACTCTTATTCCTAAGCCTTTATTATTTTCTTTTAAACCCCTCAGTCTCAAGAAGTTAATCCCTTTCTTCACTCTTCTTCTCCCTATCTTCTGCCACCAACGTTTGACATTCTCCGACATTCTCCACAAAGGTGGAGTCCTCCAGTTTCAAACCTAAATGGAGAGGGGCCGCCAAACAAGTTTCTTTGGGCTATGCAAATAGGACAATGGGTTGGGGTAACTCTATCTTTCTGATAATGCTTTACATCAGGTGCCCCCTAGTATCTTCCCAGAGAAAAGATCCAAGCTATTAACTCCTTGTCTAGCAAAAGCATCAGCCATACTCTTTGCACTTCTAGTAATCCATTGAAGTTTACAAGCACATATCTACAGTCAAGCGTCTGATTCCCCTCAACATGTATCTATATTTCCATGTTCCTTGAGTATTGTATCTCAGCTAACCCACCACTACCTTGGAATCCCCGTTAATTGTGAAATTTCTCTAAGTTAGATTCCTACCCAGCCTTGGTCCATGTAGGAGTTCCAAGATTTATGCTCTCGTGGAATCTCCAACATGTTGCCTAAAGACTCCCCCAATACTCTCGATCTACCTGGGTTCCATAAGCTGCAGCCATCAGGTTCATCTTAATACTGGGATAATTTGGAGGTAGCCACTATGCAATTGCTCTTGTCCAAGTAGTGGTAGAAGAATCTGCAATAACTTGCATACATCTTATGATATCATCAAAGGATATAAAGCTAAAATAGGCAAGATTTTTACCCAATGCACCACACTAACCTAACCTTGGTTGTTTCCATAACCACTTCCTTAGATTGACTTTATCTTCAAAGAACCTCGTATTGAGTTCAATTATTTGTAACTTCATATGACATTTCTCTAGTTTCTATTCATGCCATCTTATATCTACTATGATACTTTACATATTGAACACACACCAGTATCCATGAAATAAAATAATTTTACGTGCCTGCAATTTATGTTTGCTTTAGTTGGCAAATCAAGCACTTAAGCATCAAGTTGGACAAAACATGCTGATACCTTGTTATGTAGATTGGTAACTGTTTCATTCCAAAACCAAACGGCAAAATAAGAATATGTTTGCATCTGAAAAAGCATAACCAGACAAAGAACAACGGAACTAAGATAATACAAGTTCAAAGGAACGAGTATTTAGGGGAGAGGAAGGGAGGAGGGATTATGTGGGGTCTAATTCCAAGGGTAGTGTTTGATGTATTTAGGGGAGAGGAATGCTAAGGTCTGTTAGAACTCCAGTACTTCAATTCCTGATTTGTTGGGGAGAATCAAAGGAAAGTTGTCTTCTTGGTGCTGACCGCTGAGGCCATAAGGAATTTGAAGGCCTGAATTGTGGCTGGTTATTCTATAAAGACATGTTGTTCTTTTGCTTAACACCTTGCTAAGAGACATGTATAGTCCAGTCTACTCTTTGTAATACTTTTTGAATATTAATACGATACTTCACATTTTCAAAAAAAAATGGTAAAGGAAAGCCTTTTTTTCTTTTTTTTTTATGGATGTGAGCATTTTCTTTGCCTAAACAATGACATAATAGAAGGGTTTAACCCCTAAAGCACAAGGAAAGGCATCTCTTTCTCCTCTTATTCATTTATTTATTTTTTGATAAATTGAGGCATTTCACTGGATGGAAGAATGAGGCCTTAACCTCACAAAAAGCATTTTCAATAAAAATAATAAGCAGTAATTATTAAGTTTTTGCATTTTTACCAGTAACAATTAAAATTAAGAAAAAAGCATCATATGTTTATGGGCCTAATCAGTAACATAACTAAAAAAATGATACATTTTTTAACTTTCAGATTTTTCTTAAGTCATTTATAATGTTCATGAATCACGATGCTCATGTCTCTAACTTGAAATGTGAAAAGGTGAAGTTCATGCCTCACACCTCATGAACATATAACTCAGTTTATAGTTGCACCTCAGTACACCTTGGCAACACCCCTTCTAGAATAGGAGTAGCTTCCTATGCTACATGGACTTAGCTACAGGTATGCATCCAAGAGTCAGATTTGTCTGACAGCAAAACCTTAGGATATGGGGACTTGGCTAAAATTAACCGATCAATTAGCACTGATATATGGACAAATCATGTAGCTCACCCCACATAGTCGGGACAAGGTCTAATGTATATGGGCACATATACATTAGACAATATATATTAATTTCCAATCATGCAAGTAATCTGTGTTTGATTAAGATAAACAATCATTGACATAAAAAAAATATAAAAAGCATCAACAACAAACCAAATAAAACTTAAATCAGATTGTAGTATCATAGTTAAAAATCCATAACATAATGGTTTATAGAAAATACATATTTTATGAGGCTAAGGAGGCATTCTTGGTACAGTATAAACATCCAAGCTTCAACTTCTAATTTTAATATACATTTTAGCACATAGTTTAATAATTTATGGTTGTTGTGTCTAATTAACAGGATACATACCCAATCCACCAAAAGTTGACATGAAAAAAAATTGCTAACAGTTATGGCAAATCCAGCATAAGTCCCATACCCAAACCCATGGGCCATGTCAACAGAGGTACTTGGGATAATGTGAGTCAGGTGTAGCTGGTTTCATGCTTTTGCTTTAGACACCTAATACAACAACGGGCATGCAATAGTTCCCAGGGAACAAAACAGTCATGCACTTCTGTCCTTAATGATAGAAACTGGAATTCTTTAAAATTTTAAACTTTTGTAGGACTTGAATACCTTTCTCAACTTTAGAAGAATACATACCGGCATTTGAGTTGTTGAAGCTGCAATAGGAGTCTTCAAGCTCAAAACTGCACTAGCAGAACCGACACCCTATCAAAGAGAAAACATTATTTGATAAAACCATTTCCTTTATCCATATAAATGGCCAAAGCATTTCATGTTATAATATATATCCAGCCTTATATCAACAGAACCAAAAATGATAAACATTGGAACCAATTAATTAACTATTATTTTTCAAGTCTGAACATACAGCAAATGAGATAGGACACTATATAAACATGCCAAATCCTAAGCACAATAGCAACGCAGTTGGACAAAGTTACTGCTGAGTGGATACCACAGAGCTCATCCTCCCAAACATGACTCAGGAAAATTGGCACAGAACTCACAAAGACAAAAGCATTTTCAAATTTATTTTCCCCTTCTTGGAAAAAAAAGGAAAAAAAATGTCTTTGACTCTCTGTTACCCTTTTTTATTGGTAATGGTTGAGTTTCATTGCTTGTAACAAAAATGATGAGTTATACACAATAGGTGCCAAGCACCACAAAAAATTGTTGACTGGCACTCTGCAACCTATTCCCTCCCCAGTTCCCCTCCCTAATTACAAGGAATCATCTTACAAAAAAGGGCCACGGCTCCTGGCTGTTATTCCTTTAGCGGTATTACCACCTTAGAGCCTCCCCACCACCACTAAGAGGGCTTTCTACAACATGAATGTTTTTGTTTTCATTTTTTTTTTTGGAATTGCCACGTCAGCAAAAAAACAAGAACATATTTTTGAACTCTATTTTTGTTTTCAAAGGGAAAAACAGGTTGGTTTTGTTTCAAAAAACAATACATGTTTATGGAAACAATAAGATATTGGTGTTTAGAATAAAAACGAATTTTCTAGTATAGAAATTATATGATTATTGGAGCACGATGTTGAATAATCAGATGAAAACATGCTTTTGAAACCAGATTCAAGAACATGTTTTTGGTTTCAGTTTTGAAAACAAAACACACACACACACCCAACAAAGAACATGCTTTTTGTGTTTTTGTTTGAAGAAACAATCTGCTTTCAAATGAGATGGTTTTAATTTGTTTTTGGAACCAGCAACAAGAAAAAACAATTCACATTGTAGAATGCCCCCTAAGTTGCTAAAATCAAGTATCTACCCAGCCTCAGTCCTTAAAGGACTGCAACGCTTCAGCTTTTATGGCATCGCCAACTCCTATAGGTCCAAAAACCTAAAACTATCTCTGAATGCCCCCACCAATGCCTGTTAACCCAGGGTTACCCCAAGCAGCACCCATCTATGTTCAACTTGACTTGGTAATTTTAGATATAAACCAGTAAATGGAAAATCTAAGGTTCTTTTTACACTTCTTCATAAGCACTATCTAGGACATGACCTTTAAGCAACTACATGCTGATAGGTAATAATACTGAATTGCTGATATGGAGGCTACTAATTCTGGGTCCAATCACAACTGCCCAGTCAAAACCAGAGTACATTTGAAGTAGGATTCACCTTGGCTCTCTACCCAAATCAAGTAGATCCATCCTGAATTCTGGGTGATGGTGTTTGGGCTTATTCAGAGTTTAGTCTAGGCTATGGTTGAGAAAATGCTCATCCAAGATGCTCTATGGTGACACTTATCCAAAAAAAAAAGACACTCTATGGCGACCTACATTAGATACAAGATAGATATTCAGATTTATTGGGTAACAAACAGCACCTTAGCAAGGCCAGGAGGAACAACTGTTACGAGATCTTCAAGTGACTCCACTTTGTCTAATGGTAGAGAGCTGTAGAGCTCATCAACATCACTGAATTCTTCAAAATCCTCCTGCAGAAACGACAACAGGTGACAAAGTCAAAACTATAACAGGCAATTCAAAATCCATCATTTACATCAAGAACCAAAATGAGGTAAGATGAAAAAAAAAGAGGCAACATGTATTCATTATTCAAATACTTTACGTTACATAGAAAGAAAATGGATTGCAATGGGAGTAATCAAATAAATGAAGAAATTAGATTGCTCTGTAATACACACCTGGTTGCGTTCAACATAGTCATCCAAAAAGTCTCTTACATCATTGACCTGCTCAGGACTCAATTCATCATTATCCAGCAATCTCAAAATCAACTCTAACTTCATTATATGAGCTTTATGCCGAGCAATAGAGGTCTCTAAATGAGTCTGCAAAACAAAGATCATTCTTTAATAAAACTAGAAACAAAAAAAAAAAAACAGGACCTTCTAAGACAAGCTGTTTTCATTATACCAGTCTGGGTGGCCTTGCCTTCCCTTTCTTCACAGAGAGGCCCTCAATATCAGCTTCAAAGCAATCAATTTGAGATTCCAGCTCTGAAACCTAATGATGATTAAAGCAAAATACAAATAAATTTGTTTTTAAAATAACTTTCTAGAACATTAGAAGCATGGAGAAAAGAAATTAACTATTAAGAAACAAAAATAAAAATGTAAAAAAAAAAAAACACAAAAATGCCATCATTGAAGATGTGTCATGGGTATGAATAAAAAATGAATATGAAGTTAAAAAATGACAGAAGAAAAAGATGACAGTAATTTCCCACAGTTCAGGGCATGAAAAACAATGCCTTAATGCCAGCAGCATATTTACAATACTTTCCACTTCTGCAAACTCAAAAAGCCTTCAGAAAAATATTAAAACCAAGATAAACTTTGTTGGTTGTAGGAGAGCGCAATTCTGTCAGGGGAACAGCTAGGCTGCTTCCTCCACTATATATATTGAGAAATGGTACAGTATCAAATTAGCCAAAAAACACGTACAAGTTGCTGCACACAGGGATTTTACAATCACTGCCCATAAAACCTTGTACTCCAAAACCTGTTTACAAAAAGATTATCCTATACAAAAAGGGAGCTGTAATTTCTATCTTTCAACATGTTTACAGCAAGCCAAGAAAACATTTTTTCCCACCATTTTCTGAAAGTGTCTACAGAACTCTTTTTGTTCTTGAACATCCTTGCATTTCACTCCATGCCAGTTTCCCCTCTTAGATAAACCTCCAACTCTCCAACCCTTTACAAAATCCACCACCTATTCCAGATAGCAGCTTTTCACTTCACATAAGTTCCAGACTTGTGACTAGATTTCAAAAGAAAATCTGCAATGCAGCAAATAAGTGATTTACTAATTTTGTTTGCTCCACAGAGAACACAGTTGGTGGAGTCCAGCAGCATACCTTCCTTAACAGATTGTCTCTGGTTAGTATCCTGTTCAAATATGCCACCCACACAAAAAAGACCACCTTAGTGGGGACATTCTTGCACCAAATAATCTTGACTAGGATTATCTGGTCTTCAGATCTAGAAATAGAATTGTACAAAGATTTAATGAGAAGTTTCCAGATTTTTCCCACTTCCAAACTCCTCTATCATTCCTCCTGAAATCCACTTGAGTGCTATAAAGTTTGTGCAACATTTCCATGTTGAATCTACCTCCCAATCATTCAATTTCCTTCTGAATTAAGGGACCCATATCACATTTCGATTCTGCATCTGCATACAATCTGCCACACAAGTTTCCTTATCCACAGCAAGCCCAAAAAGAGCAGGAAATTTATCCATGATTCTATCAATGGCCTATTTTCACACCATACATCTTTCCCAAATTTCACACGAAGTCCATCTCCAACCTTGAACCTCAGCCATTTAGAGTAAGAACCATAGGCTTTCCCAATACCTTTCCAAACGGAGCATCCATAGGATTGATTTGGTACCCCCAGGGTCCCATCCCATGTTTCCTCATCCATATTTAGCTGCCACCACCCTCCTCCATAATCCCCCTTCATTCTCACCAAACCCCCAAAACCACTTTCCCAATAGAGCAATATTTACATTTTTCACCCCTCTCACACCCAAACCTCCTTGATGTTTAGGCCTGCACCTTATTCCAACTGACCAAATTATATTTCTTCTCCTCTTCCCTCCACCCTCTCCATAGAAAGTCTCTTATTTTCCTTTCTATAATGTTAGCCACTCCAGTTGGTATTGGATCAAAAAGAGTAAATGCATAGGGAGAGAAGACATCACACTTTTGATCAAAGTAATTTTGCCTCCATAAGAAAGATACTTGGCTTTCCAAGAGGCAGCTTCTTATCAATTCTTTTAACAATTGGCTTCCATATCGATTTAGAAGGTTACTCCACGATTGTAGAGTGGATCCACAACAAAATTGAGAGCCTGGGAAATACACCCATAGAGTAAAGAAAATAAGGAAATTGGCAAGATGAGGAGCAATTGCTCAATGGGTTCAAATATCAGCAAACACATTAGTCGACAAGTTAGTCGAATAAGGAGCAGAAAGGGAAGACTGGTTCTGGGGGAGCGTCCCTATGGATTGTCTGGTTGGGGAATTGTAGAAGGACAAGATACTCTGAGATTTGGATGTTTGGGCTGACAATTGCGAGGTGCTAAACAGACATTCTTTTGTACATCATTATTTTTTGTAATTAATAAAGATCATCACCACCAATGTGAGCTTGTCTTACACCGACAATCCCATGCCCAGATAAAGTAAGAGGGTTGAGTCAGGTTGGCAGCCAACAATTAAAGCTTTGGCCAAACGCTTATAGCTATCCATCAAAAAAATATTAAAATCAAGAACCCAGAATTTGTTGATGTGCACATACACACACTGGCTATTCAGGCAAACAAACAAATGCAGAGTCATGTACAGACTAATCAATCCATATAGACAAATCCTTGGCATTTTAGCCTATCATCATTGTCTATGAGATAAATAGGGCAACCAACACGCAAATGCATATAAACAAGAGAAATATGTGTTGGAAGGTGGTGGAAAAGGGGAGAAGCGAACAAGGTGGAAGACAAGGCTGACAACTTAGAGATTTCAACAACTGATGTGCCACACAAGGATGAAGGGAACTTAGCAGCAACATTAAAGGATGATCAGGGTACACCCATTCTTGCAAACAAATCCTTTCCAAAAAACAGGCAGGTAAAGAGTTTCGGCTTGGAGAGGCAGGATTCTTCTTTGAAGGCTTACAAGAAAACACCCAGAAAGGAAACTGTACCAAAGTCTCCCCCAGATGTAGGGACTGATAAGGCTTTGATTAAACCAAGTTTACCCCAACAACCAAATCAAACAGAGGGAAGGAGTTCTGGTCAGAAGTCTATCACTGATATCCCAACACAATCTGTTGACTTTTCCCCTCCTATCAGGCCAGGTATGTTTGTCCATTCAGGTTTTGTTACTAATCAGGGTTTTGTGCCTGAAACAGGTATCTTGGCATCACAGCTGAAGAGAACAGCCAGAGGTGAAGGAATAGAAGTTGAAAGGGTGAGGTTAGAAACAGAGGAAGAAGTTTCATTGTTAGAAAAAAGACAAGTGGAGGAAGCAGAGAGAATTTGGGAGCAAATCTATGTTTTGTTGGAGGAATATAAACAGATAGAGGAGTTGTTGGAGGCAACACCAAAAAAACTAGAACCCTTAGAGAGTAACTGTTATGAGAAGAAAGGACGGGGTAAATCAGTGATGTTAGGAAAAGAAACAATTATCAAAAGCAAAAAGAAAAAGAAAAGGTCTGAGGTGGAAACATTAATTTCAGACATAGAAGGGGACTTAGAATTTAGTGGATGAGGGGAGAGGAGGAAGGCTCTAAAGTAAAGGAAAATGGAAAGTGTGGAGGGTATCTTTCTACAATTGAGTTGATGAAGATCATTAGCTGGAATGTGAGGGGTCTAGGAAGTGCAAGAAAAAGGAGGGTGATAAAAGATCTGTTAAAGAAGGAAAGGTCTGACATTGTATTGATAGAACAAACCAAACTAGCTGATCTAGACAGAAAATGGGTTAAAAGTGTGTGGAAAGCAAGAGGTGTGAGTTGGTGCTCAACTCCCTCTTGGGGAGCCTCTGGGGGGATAATTACTCTTTGGAGAGAGGATGTGGTAGAACCATTAGAGGAGCTGATAGGTAATTTTT